GGTTTTTTTTTTTTTTTTTTTTTTTTTTTTTTTCGACCGTTGGTGTCGAAAATTGACCAAAAATCGACCTGTATGTGTCGAAAATTGCCCGACGGGGTTTCAAAAAAAAAAAACTTCAAAATCGACTTCGAAGCTCAAAAAAGACATCGATACTTACCTTAATGGCTTCTCTTTCCACATATACTACCATATTATTGGCTTATAACTCCATTTTATAAGTTTTGTGAGGTTTTGATTTTTTGAATTTGGAGATGTTTTGGAGGATTTAAGAAGATGAAAAAGATAGGGTTTAATTGGGTTGTCGCGGCAGTTACGAGCACGTACGGTGGCGTTCGGCGGCGGCGGCGGCGGCGTCGGCGGCGGCGGCGGCGGTCAGGGTTGGAGAGGAGAAGAAATGGTGGAGGTTTTTTTTTTTTAACAACAAAGGGTTTTTTTTTCTTTTTTTTTTATTTGGTTTTTGAATAGGTAATTTCTAATAAAATTTGATATAATTGATATTTTGTATGAAAGGGTGTTTTTGTAATTTTCTTTTTATTTTGGTTTTAAAGTAAGAAAAAACTTATAAATATGTACTCAATTGTGGTTTTCAACTAGGTAGTATTCAACTAAGCAAAAATTAGTATTCAAAATAGTTGCCCCCTTTTAGTATTGCACATTTGGAATTTTCCATTTTTTTAACAAGTAAGGGTATTATAGTATTTATACATTAAAAAATTCAATTTGGTCTTGCACAAGTGGAGTAAGTCTTGCATATAGCAGCAGCCTAAAAAAAATATCACACTTTGTAAAAACTTAATTAAGTTTTTAAACATAAAACGTCGTCGTATTGCCCCTATTTCTTTCCCACTCTAATACTTTTCGGTTTTTCCAGAATTTTCCCCAATACTCGCAATTACAAACTCGTCTGCCTACTGCCCTTTCCCTCCTCGGAAAATTCTCTGGAAGTTGTGCACAAATTTCTCAAATACAAAGGTGAGTTTTTTTCCCCCTAAATTCTACCCACCGTTAACTACTTGGTGGCGGTGGACCGCCGTCGGGCCGCCTTTTGTCCGCCGCCGTTCACGTCGTTCCTCTACTTATTTAAAAACTCTTTTCAGGTTTCGCTGCAGATTGCTGAGGAACACTTTTTTTTTTTCCTTATTGAAGAAACTGAGGAACACTTAAGGTTAGGATTGTTTTTTTTTTTTTCTTTTAATTATGTCATGCGCATTATTGTTTTGGTAGGTTTGAGCTACAAATTTGGGGCTTTCACGTTGGTTAATTTTAATTTCGGCTAGTAATTTTAGAGAGAGGTAGGGGGGAACTGTGTTGGAGAGACATTGTTGATGTTGTTGTATTAACTGATGCCAATATTTACAGGTGTGTGTGTGTGTGTGTGTGTGTGTGTGTGTGTGTGTGTGTGTGTGTGTGTGTGTGTGTGTGTGTGTGTGTGTGTGTGTGTGTGTGTGTGTGTAAGTTAGTTGTCTTTCGTTCTCATCGGTCGTGATTTGAATTTTTTTTCCTTTCGATTTCTGAATTGTGATGTTTACGTTTCGATGCCTCGGACGTTGGATAGTGGTGAATTTTTTTAGTCTAGGTGAATCTAATCAGGTTGCATAGGCTTCTTACATGTGCAAGCATTCCGAGTCGTGGCATTTCGAACCCCTATGAAACATGGAATACAGGAAGAAAAAGAAAATGTATGAAAAAAAATGACCATGATATATAATTGGATCTATCTATTTTTGACATTTGAGATTCTTCAGGATAGTGTAATTTGATTTGATATCTAATGATGCATATCCTTCTTCTAATGATCAATGGCCTTTTGCGATTTCGATATGAGTTCCGAAAACCTGAAGATATAATCCATTCGTATACCGTATGTGATAGTTTCATTCTTTATCCACTGACTTTCTTATTATTGTGCTCATTAGATTTGATTGTCGTACTTTAAAGTTTCGATTGTATTCCCACTGAGGGTTGATAAAATAAATTGTCTAGGCTCTCGTGTGTTTCTTTGCCAAACATTGCCCCGTTAGTTTCGGGCAGCCCGACTTGTGGGCTTGATGAACATGGACAAACCATCCCACGTGTACAGATGAGCCTGATTTATCCTTTGGAGCCTATGTATTAACAGTTGGCTAAAATTTCTTTTTTGTCCTAGCTTTAGTTAAGGGTAGCCTACCCTTTCTCCCTAAATCTCAAGGAAGTAGGTACTTCCTTACCACCGACCGCATTATGAAGCACGAATATGGACTTTCCGATACTATCCTCGAATATTGAAGCCTGAAAAAGGATGAAAAATCACATAATACCAGCGACATCTTTCCAAACTTCCTAAACTTTTGTTTTGAGAAATGTTAATATTTTCTACCCCATTTTCCGGGGGGAAAAAACAAGGTAGTGAGGGGGCAGAGCAAAAAAAGACGAGAATTTTTTTATTTTGAAAGGTAGTGAGTAGAAGTAATTGATTTAGGGTTTTCAGGGAAATGTAGTTTCAATTTCATTTTCTAATCCATGAAAAGGAACATAAACGAAAAGATTGTTCTGTGTCCTCAATAATAACATGAAGTGGCTGTAAAAATATCTAACTAATTAATTATCTAGCATATTTACATCCTTCTTTTAATCTTGCTATGTATCTATCGCTCTCTCGTCCAATGACAAAAAGTAAATGAACCCCGAAGATTCATTTGGTTCAATGCATTTGAATCAGATTGTATTGTGACCCTGTACTTGTCAATTCAAGTCTTTTAGATTTATTTTTCTCATGGACCATTTTCTAGTGAAAATGAATATTACCATTCTATGCTTTGATTTTGGAATATTAATGCGTATAGCCAACTATAGTCCATGAAAATCATGATGATGACTGTATTTATTGTATTATAGCTCGGAAAACACCCTCAAAACTATTTCTACTGGTTTGCACAGAGCAACAAAATTCCTCCTCCTTGTCTTTTGCCTTTAGTTTCACGTCTGTTTGTTTATAGTTTTCTGGTTTATGCGTTAAAAATCGAGCCATGTTCTCTGTTTATATTGTACTTCTAACTAGATACCTTTCTTGCTTACGCTTATGGAACCGCACCAAGTCCTTGCTTACTTGATTTCCCTGGTTAACTCTTATTGGGGAAGTTTTTTCTCGACATGTACAACGAGATAGAACAATAGGAATGATGCATGTGTAATTATGGTTCAGTCGCCAAATGAAATTCGTAGCATCAAACTTAAAATTATAGTCAATAGCAGAACGGGCTGAATAGTCCATGCGTAATAATCTAGCTCTTCTTGAAATAGAGATTATAATACATTATACCTCTCATAATACACAATGGAATAAAGTGGACATTTCCAGTTTCGAAATAGAGGGTTGTGCTAGCTGCTGCTATTTGTCGAAAGTGAGCTGTATCAGTAGGCAGAATTTTTCTTGAAGTGGCCTAGGGCGAATTAAAATTTGGTTACGATAAGCTTTCTATAGCTGTGATTTGGCACTCAAATTTTGGTTCGTATAATATTATCTTACTCTTTTCTCACGAGCTGTCGATCTAAGGGAGTTTTGTTTCTGAAATTCTGCACTTTATACACTAGTGTAGGTAGCTGGTTGATATCTGGAATAATTGACTAAGAAATAATCCTCAATATTAGTAAGGAAGCACCGTTTTATAAACTATTTGCCTCTTGTCGGAATATATCACGAGTCGAGACATTGATGAATTTGATGATTTATGTCCCCTAGATATTTCCTTAAGCCACTGATTCGTAACTGCAAAAAAAGAAAAAAGTGTCTTCTTATTTAATATAGCCTCTATTTACTTGATCTCAGGTTCTTGAAAAACTATGGCGAAACATCATCCTGATCTGATTATGTGCAGAAAGCAGCCCGGAATTGCAATCGGGCGCCTTTGCGAGAAATGCGATGGCAAATGTGTAATTTGCGATTCCTACGTACGCCCTTGCACTCTAGTTCGAGTTTGTGACGAGTGCAATTACGGGTCATTTCAAGGTCGTTGCGTCATATGCGGAGGTCCGGGCATTTCAGATGCGTACTATTGCAAAGAGTGCACGCAGCAAGAAAAAGATAGGGATGGCTGTCCGAAGATAGTCAATCTCGGGAGTGCTAAAACTGACCTATTCTACGAACGCAAAAAATACGGTTTTAAAAAGAGATGATTTTATTCTGAGGGTGGAATTTATTTTCGTGGATTTGTATACTTCTAAGGGTGTTGTATTTTGTTTTGTACTATGAACTTCATGTCGAAGGAGGTGATATTCGTAGGTAACGAAAGATAGTTAGGATTTTTCGTATTTTCGTATTTTCTTATTTTCAGGGAGTTAATTATTATGTGCTACAAGTCAGCCCTTATTTTTCTTATTATATCATTCACATTGTTGGGTGATTCTTTTGGGAAGTGTTCATTCGGTAAAACCGTACCGAATTATGTCGCAATTTCGGTACTTCGAAAATTTGTACTGTTTTACCGAACCGAAATATGTACGGTTTTCTACCGAATTGATTTGATTTTTTCTGTTGGGTACTGGTAAAACTCAATATATATATATATATATATATATATATATATATATATATATATATATATATATATATATATATTAAATAATGTGCAAAAATCTTAACAGAGTACTGAATAGGATTTTCGGTTCGATATTTGGCACGTACTGAATTTATAGTTGGCTCGAACGATTTACTTGATATTTTCAGGTGCTTAGAAAGTAATTTTCTTTGCTAGATGTAGGTAGTCACTCTATATTTTCTTTGTTGAAATATAAATTTAAGAGACAATTTCCAAGTTTTTATTTTATTTTTGTGGTTTTTTTCGAAACCCACAAACAAAATTCACACTAAAAAAGTCAAAGTTGACCCAATTAATTTACACTCCCGATAAAGAAAAGCACGCCCCAATAATAATTAATAAACCCTCACAAATTGTACACATGCTGCCTGCATAAATAGAGAAAAATTGCTCCCCCCCAATAATTGCAATTAAAAAGAGTGGTAGCGGCCATCTTTGCAGTAATTGCGGCCAAAAATTAATCAGTTTGGGGAGCAGAGATTTGGTGAACTAATAAATATTAAATAAATCTATTTATCTTGCAAATTAATTTTAATTTGGTGGCCCAATAAATTATTTTGGTCAATAGAGTAGCCTTTCTTTTGTAGCCCTAGGGGCCAACAAGCCAAGCTTGTCAGGTAAAACAAACCAATGGACACGTGGGCCCGTAAAATAAACAATTTTTTTCACTTCCAAAATAATTGATTTTTTTTTATTTTTTTTTTTCCTGTTTGATATATCCAAATATAAGTTATATAAGATATATATGAACGTAATAAACACGAGGCCAACTTAAGAAATTCTAATGGCATATTTTTAAAAAAATTAAATAATATCTTTTAACAAAATCCTGATAGTTTCGATAGTGTTTTTATTTATATATATAATTTTTTTTCTCTCTTTTGCATAAATCAATGTGAATTTATTTGTAATATTTAAATTTTCTTCATTTAAGCATTTCCGTGCATCGCACGGGGAGAATTGCTGGTTATAATAATAGGAAAAAGTTTCACCCGTTCATTTTGTCTAAATACTCTAAATTGAAACTCTCCGGTTGGCAAAAACGTAGTTTTGGACTTCGACGCCATGTGCAACAGCTGTCAAGACACCACTGTTTGGATATCAAACACATCAACAGTTGCCGTCTGCTCATCAAACACATACAGCATCGTCTAGGCACCATTGTCTACACATCAAAGTTCAAACACCTCCACCACTGCCGAGGAGACTAGACATTACAACACGTCCATCGCCGGAGTTGAAACAACCCTTCTCTCAGAAACCGATAACGTCCTCCTCTACGGCCCCGACCAATGCATCGCGTGGCAGAGCTTCTCCCATTTGTCTGATACACCTCGATTTTCTTCCATCGATTTTAGTAAAATTATTTAACATATTACATAATTGATTAATAAATCAACAATTTGGAGATTAATCAATTTTAGTATGGTTTAAAATTTTAATCAACTATAATCGATTAATAAAATTAATTAGGCAAACAACATAGTCTATGCACGTTCAATTTAACCCATAATTTCGCAAAATAGATAAGGAGGTTATTACTAATTTATTTCTAAATGGTGTACCTATTTCAATGTTATTTTAGAAAATGGTGAATTTTCACTAAATTTTTCCTTTTTTGTATATAATAATTTCGATCTGATCCATCGAATTTACGTCCAATGCAAGGCCTTCACACGTATGACTATACGTAACACGCTTCCATGTGATAATTTTTTAAATTACTCATTGGGTGATTAGTGGTTACACAGTGATAATTATTAGTATTGAATATAAAAAATACGAAATAAATTTGTATGGCGTGATTCTAGGTTGATTTATGTCACAACAAGATTAAATTCAACCCCCTTTTCAAAATTAAATGATAATTAAAATCAGAAGAAAAAAGAATAATAATAAATCCCTTATTAAAATAAACATTTGGAAATTAGTTTATTATATTGCAAAAAGTAGAAACGGTGGTACCTTATTCTACATTATTATAATACCGATCATAGGTCAATATTTTAATCAAAATTAATAATATAAGATATTATATGAATAAAAAATTCGTGTCAGTGTGAATCTGCTCACACCGATCCCGAGAAACACCTTCACAGTTTGACTGCTATTAAAATAATAATTAAACAATTACTATTATTTTCCAAGTATGCACACGTAATCAGTCAGGAGTAAAAGATACTTAAGAAAGTACTAATATAATATAGGGTAAATTACGAAACACCCCTAATTTTAGACTAAATTAGAAAAACACCCTCATCTAACCTTAATTATCAAAATCCCCCAACTTTGTTTTTATCTTACACCGACTTCCTTACGGTCTGATGATTATTCACCGAAAATGCCTATTCTACCCCTACAAACGTGTCATTTCTTTATACTATTTTTTAAAGACAAAAAAAAATACTTAGATGGTCTTTACACAAAATCTTTATTCTTCTTAATATTTAAAACTTTTTAGTATTATCATTACTCTCTATGAGGCTAATTATTTTCTTTTAAATTAGCATGAAGAAATGCCACGCCCGCTAGGCTAGAATTTATACATTTTTGGAAAATATTCCCAACAATCAACAAAAATTCCGTGAAAATACATCGTAAGAAGGTCGGGAGAATTTTGATAATTATTGAAGGATGAGGATATTTTTTGTAATTTAATCTAAATTAAGAGGGATTTTCGTAATTTATCATAGAATATAGGACTAATTGGGTAGCAAATAAAAAAAATAAAAAAATGAAGCATGCAATAGAAGACAAGAAGCAGCATTCATTGAGTATAAATCAATCAGCAGCACATATATCGAAAGAGGCAAAGAAAAAGATTGTTGTAACCACGTCCTCTAATTATGTTCTTATTCTAATCAATCAATACTATAATAATATTCTTATAAAGCTGGCAACCAATATTTCCTTATCAGCACTACCCACTCTTTCTCTCTCCTCTATCTTCTCTCTCTCTCTCTCTCTCTACATCTTCATCATTATCCACCGATTAATTGATTGATACATATTTAATTTTGGGACCACAACATTCTTCAAACATCTTCTCACTATATTCTAATTTAACTCCAAGTGAACTCGCGTCAACTGATCCAAATTCGAATCGTCTTGCCGATTATTAATAAAGTTAACCTAGAGTGGTCGATAACTCTCGATGGTTATGCAAGCCCGGTGAACTTGTGCTAGCTGATCCAAATTCGAATCTTCTTACAAACGACTATTAGATCAAGCTTGTCATACAAAATTAACATACTCTGGTCTATATTTCTCGTATAGTTTGCAAGATCGGTGCATCATATGATCTAAATTAATTTAGTTCATACATGATAATATAGTTTTAAAATTACCAAACACAATTTGAATATATAAATTCATGTTCACTTCTAACTTATAGAACATTCTAACTATACATACACACTCACACACATTTGAAAAGGGAAGGGAAATAAATCAATCCAAATACACACACACACACACAAAAATCAAGAACCCTAATTTGAAGTTTTAAAAAAAGATCCCATCCTTCCATAATTTTCCAATAAAAAACAAGCAACAAAAAAAATTTAAAAACTAGCTATCTCTGTTATTTTAAAAGAAAAAATAAAGAGTGCATCACCTTAATCTAAAAAATACAATATAGATTCAAGACAAGTCAAGAATGGGAGACAAATCCCCTGCAAACACAACACCCATTTGAGAGGAGAACATAATCTCCCAAGATTAAATCCTCACCGTCCATCTCCCGATCTAAACGAATCCGCAAAACCAGAAGGCCGAGTAGGTATACTCGTCTGCGTATTATCGTTGCTACTCCCGATATAAGAAGAAGATCCATCCACACCGCTCATTCCTTCCAAAGCCTGCCATTTCTTGAGCGCCTGAGGCAGAGTCATGTCGTAATCGATTCCATAAGCATCTTCCGGGTCGGTAGATTCCGAGGGCTTCCAAAGTTCGGCGAGAGAAGAGAGTACGTTGACAGCATGGCACATGTCGGGCCTCTGGTAGGGTTCGCGGGCCGAGCAGTGGCCGGCCAGCTCAGCGACCGTGGTGATGCTGGCGAGGGTTTCTTCGTCCAGGTCGAGAGTTGGGTCGATGGCTTTGTGGAAGGTGTCTTTGCTGACTAGGTTTCGGCGGAACCATGGGACTAGGTGCTGGCTCTCGTCTGGCTGAGACTCGTCTAGGGCTTTTCGTCCGGTGATCATTTCCATTAGGATTACTCCGAAGCTGAACACGTCGATCTTTGTGCTCACTCGCCCCGTCACTGTACAAATTTAATCATTCTTGATTCAGACATTGTAAAATAATGACATACTCGTAACATACATATTCGGTAGGATGTTTCTAGACCATCACACAGATATCGTCGTATAGCAAGGCTAATGGGATTTTGGATTAGTTGAGGCAGTTGTAAGTAATCATAACAAGAAGAAAATGAAACGAAAAACAAAAATTGTAATCCAACTCATTGATTTGTGTCCACTCTTATTGTTTGTGGCATCGGGTGTAAAAAATCAGAATCCTTCAAATCCAAGATAAATATACATTCAGGGTGTGTTTGGATTGAAGGATTTGAAATGACTCCAAATGGGAAGGGATTATCATACCAATGCAACTAGTGAATGAACAAATATCAATCCATATAGCAACAAACCAAAAGGGAATCAAACGACGACAATCATCATATATAAATATATATATCAAGAACCAATTCAAAGGAAATAAAGTTTTACCTGCATATTCCGGTGCAAGATAGCCAAACGTTCCAGCCAGTCTAGTCGCAATCGACGCCTGCCCATCAGCAAGCCGAACAAGCCCAAAATCCGCAACTTTAGCCCTCATATCATCTCCGAGAAGAATATTCGACGGTTTAAGATCCCTATGAATAAAACTCTGCTGAGCCAATCCATGCAAGTACTCAACGCCTCTAGCAACATCCAACGCAACGGTCAACCGTTTGGTCCACTCCAAAGGCTTCAACCCTTCTTCCTTCCAGTTAAACAAGAACCTGCTAAGTGTGCCCTGTGGCATATACTCGTACACAAGCAGCCTCTCGTTTCCATCCAAGCAATAACCAAGAAGAGCAACCAAATGCCTATGTCGAACTTTCGTCAATACAGCAATCTCTGATTGGAACTCGTCCAATCCCTTCTCGCTCATCACACCAGATTCCATCCTCTTGACAGCAATCTTGGTTCCATCGTGCAGCTCCCCTTTGTAGACGGTACCGAATCCACCTCTTCCGAGTATGTTGTGTTCGCTAAAATTGCCCGTCACATTTCTCAGGACTTGTATGGAAATTACCATATTGCCAGCCTCGACAATGTGGAGGTCGCTGGGCCCACTGCTTCCGTGGCTGTATGTCTCACTGGTCCCACCATTAACGCTCGAACCAGCTATAGTGATCTTAACTGCATCCTCTGAGCCAGAGTGACGAGGATGGATAACTGTGGTATGAGGAGATTGAACTCTGCCACTACGCTTCTTTTTAGTCTTGTAAAGGCAGAAAACGAGTGTACCGGCAAAGAGAAGCACACAAACTCCACCAACTACTGAGCCCACAACAACACCGGTCGAAGATTTCTTCTCGTTGCTATTTCTTGATCCATTACCATCAGAATCAGATCCAGGTGGACTACCTTGCTTAGTTGGGGGTGGGGTGTCTTTTCCAATATTAACATTTCCATCGGTCTTCACAACCACAGAGGTCCTAAAAGACGGAACTTTACCATATATTTGGTTATTCGAAACGTCCAGCTCGATGAGGTTAGGCAGAGTCGTGAGCTCGTCCGGAATAGTTCCTGTCAAGAAATTATTCGATAAAATCAATCTCTGCAGGGAAAGGATCTTCGCAAAAGCAGGGGAAATCGTTCCACTGAGTCCCATTCCATGGAAATTCACTACAGTGATATTCCCATTGTTGCAGGTGATCCCTTTCCACGAAGCACAAGGATCGTTCCCTTTCCAATTCTCGGCTAACGAAGCCGGATATCCTAAATCCTGCGCCACACTAAGCAAATTATTGACCCTTGGATCACATTCTACACCAGGATCGGGTAAACAAAAGCTGTTAGTATTCACAGACATATCCACCTGCACCGAGCTGCTAAACTGAGGGGTTTTCCCTTGTAGCATATTATTCGTCAAATTCACCACCGTGAGGGATTTCAGCCCTACCAAAGAATCGGGCACCGGTCCAGTGAAATCATTGTCCCTTAAACTCAACTTCTGCAGCTGAACTAACGGGGTGAAATCAGGTAACGGACCGGAGAACGAATTCCCGTGCAACCAAACCTCACTCAACTGAGTCATGTTCTGCAAAACAGCAATAGAACCATTCAATGTCGAACCACCCTTCCGACTATTGAGCCACAAAGACTGAATCGAAGAGCCCGCAAACGAAGAGGGCAACGGGCCCTCGAGATTGTTGAACGACAAATGCAATTTGGTCAAGCTCGAAAAAGTGTCCGAACCGAGAAATTCCGGCAGAGGGCCGGTGATATTCGTCGAGGTTGCGGAAAACGTTTGTAGAGTGGATGCGTTTCTGAGACCATCAGGAATTTGCCAGGGGCTAAACGGGTTGTAATCCAAGTAAACATCTTGTAAAGAGGTCATACCGTCGAAGAAATCGGGTGGGATGGATGTGAAATTGTTGTTGCTGAGTAGGAGGGACTGGAGCGAGTTCAACCCGGAGAAACTCGGGAGCGGACCAGTGAGTTGGTTCTGTTGGACTTCGAATACTTGCAGAGAGGTGAGGTTGTTCAGGTTCGGCGGGAGGGTGCCGCCTTGGAGGTTCATATTCCCGATTTGGATCCGGGTCACCCGCCCGTCTCTCGAGCACGAGACGCCCTTCCACTTGCAGGTGTCCGAGTCGGCCCACCCGAGTTCACTCGGTGGGTTTAGGCTTTTCTTAAAGTCCTGCATCACCGCCGCATCGCCGGACTGCGAGTGAGCGACGGCGGCCAACAGCGAACAGAAGGCCAGAAAAAGCAGCCGTGAGTCCATTCCGGACATAAACCCTCCGCCGCCGGAGAGAATTATTTTTTCAATTTTATTTTTCCTCGAGAAAAATTCTTCTGGTGCTCGTATGGCGGAAACCCTCACACGGGTATAGAAATGAGATAATACATATACATACAGAAAGATATGCCAACAGATTATTTTCCTTTTATGCGTTTATTTTGTTTCCCTTCTCTCTGCACACTCTAATTCCTGAATTAAGGAAAGTAGTGTGTGTACTGTGTGCAGTCGATAGAGAGAGAAAGTGATAGAGAGAGAAAGAAGAGAGAGAGGGGTTTTGGGGGAGGGGAAAAGGTAGGGGTAAATTCGGGAAACAAGTGTGTGTAGTGTGTGCACTGCTTTTTCTCTTCCACCATTAAAAGCGGGTGTGGTGCGTAATTCGGAGAACTGTGTGTGTTTTTCGGGGGAGAGAAAGGATTACAGCTGGCACATGCGCGTGGGGCCCACTTTTGAATTTAAAAAAGGGTTTTTTTGGAGAGGAGTTGTGGTGGCCATGTTTTTTGAGGGGTGAAAAATGTCACTTTTGAGAAATTCTTTTCTCTCTCTCTCTCTAAATTATAGAAGTCTCTTTGGGATGTACGGGTAACAAAAAATATTTTGTTGGGGTATAATCGTAATTGCGGACTCTGCATTTATGGTGTTTTTTTCCTGTGAAGAATTAATTTTTACAGCATACAGAATTTATTATGGTTTATCCCTTTTTCTTTTTAAGTTTACGCCCTTAAACTATCGCTTATATAACATTTACCCTTATAAACTAATAAAAGTATTGTTTGTAGCATTTTACCCCTCAAGCACTATTTAATTTGGAATTTTAAATTTTAAAATGCAATAATATCTCCTCGAGCACCATTTAATTTGAATTTTTAAAATTTAAAAGAAGATAATACCATTGATTTTTATTGGATAATATATTTTGAAAGTTAATCCAATTGATTAATCAAAATATGAACTGAATAATCAGCCCAAAATTAAATTTTATCTTGAGTTGGTAACTCATAACAATCTGATTTTTTTCTTGGACCACAAATAAGATTGAAGCAACTAAAAATTAAATTATTGACTAAAAAATATTATATCTATATTTATTTACACGAATCAATGAATTGGAAATATTTGCAATTAAGTAAGATTACAGCTATTTTTTCATTATTTTATATATACATATTCTTATGATCAATTATTAGTAATATACTCCATTCGCAATTTTAATTATTATATAATTAAATATTGAAGAATAATTTTTTTCATTTACAATATTAAATATTAGCTTGATTCTAAACGTTAATTTTATGTTTTTGTTATTGTTCGATTTTGTTTGCTCCAATAATTAGATTTTTATATTATGTATATTTACAACTCAACATGAATAAATAAATAATCCCACCTCAATAAAATATGTAAAATTTAAACATATGGTTTTGATGGTTGTTATTTTGATAAATTAACTGAATTACTTTTCAGTTAATTCTTCTTTGTGATTATGTCTTTTAGCATTTGTTCCATTGACATAAACAAAAAGCCCAATTGTTTACTCGGATTGGGTCTATTCGACACGGAGCATTATTTTGCAAAGAAATATAGCCCATTAGAGTAAGGTAAGAGACACGGGCCCAGAATCGTGGGCCCGGTTAAGAACATCCCCTCGCCACAAACGAACGGCAAGGAAGGTACCCCACCAAGAGTCGAGCGGAACGCGACGCTCAAAAGGGTGCGGTGATGATTTTGACAGGTGCATTAAATGTACTGATACCAAGATTAAATGCTCGAATAACTAGCGACAACCGAAAAATAGGAAAAGACACAGACACCATCCAAAATGGTATTTCTTTGTGCTTGGGTGAGCGGTGAGCAAACCGTTGGCGGGGAAATGATGGTTCGGACTACCCGAAAGCAGGTAGAAAGTTGGTAAGTACGACGATAAAATAGCCGATTGATATATGTCCGCCCTAGCTTTACGGAACTTTGTGGTCCAGAGGGGAAGAGTAATAAAAGCTAAGTTTATTTTTCGAAAAAAAAACATACACAAATCCTCTGTCAAAACACATATCGATTCCTAATGACTTGATCGTTGGAGTTTAACTACAACGTCAGTCCTACTTCTTTTCTTAGCAGCTCGATCCTGAAATTGAAGGATTGAACTCCAGCACCGAGCAGTAGTTGCAAAGGGACCCATCCAGTCGATGTGTTTTACGGACGGATCAAGATCCAATACACGATCCTGGCGTAAATATAAAACAAAGATTGAAGCTCATCTTTCAAAATTAGTGGCCTATCCGGGAAATTATTAAACTAACCCGAGTCCAATCGGCTTGACTAATCTTACCAAACAAAAGATTAAGAAAATGTTGTAGTGATCAAAATAATCTCATATATATGTTCTCTTTGAAAGAGGTTAATTGGTTAAAAAAAAAATTGAAAAAAATAAGTAAATCATATTTTGTCAATTTTGTGTAAATCCCAATTAGTTAGTATTAATTAACCCGCTAATTAGTGGGATTAATATTGCGGGCCGGATTAGGGCTACGGTAATTCCAGAATTGGGCTAAATTCAGCCCAAACAATTCCATCAAATCCAATGTCCAAAACAATAATTGGAAATAAAAATAATAAGAAAAAAAAGGAAAAAAGGGAAAAAAACCAGAAAAAATGAAGTAATGAAGAGCAGCTCCCTCTTTCTTCTGCATCCCCAAACCCTGGCGCGCACCATTGAAATTCGCCTGAAAACCCTAAAGAATCTCCACTAGTTTTCGGCCGATGAGAATTTTCCTGGAATTTAGTACACTTTTTCCGCTCTGATTAAACTTCCCCTAATTCTTCGTAACCCCTGAGCTCCCGTTTTGATTTCCATAATATACACGGAACTGCGCAATGTCTATTTCTCCCGTGGACTGTGTATACTTGACGGAGGACTCCATTAAAGAATTGAAGAACTCGAATTCGAATTTCAGATTTCCGTCGCCTGCACCTGTTCTCCGGTTTCTATATGAGCTATGCTCCGCCATGGTAATTTGTTTGTAAAATTGGTGTTGTTTTTATGCATTTGAAGTTGTTTATTGGGCAATTCGTCTGTTTTGGATTTTTGCTTGCCTCGTTGTCCGTTTTTTTTTTGGAATTAATTAGTAAATTTGGTGTTGTTTCTATCTGATTGAAGTTTTGAATTATTTCAACCAACCGTCTTCGTGCCCTTTGGTAACCTTTTTCAAGTTAATAATTGGTATTTTCGCCCACATTAGTTTGTGGTATTTTGTAATTTTTTGGGTTTGATTATTTTCTATGTTTTTTGAGAATTTATTTTCATCGGTGTTTTGATGGAATGTTTTGATGTATTTCTTCCGCCTTTACAGTTTTATATGTTTTGCTAAACGTTCATTTTTCCGTTTGGTTGTTAGGTCCGAGGGGACTTGCCATATCAAAAATGTAAAGCGGCATTGGAGGCAGTAGAATTCTTGGATTGTGGTCCGGAAGGGGATGTGGGGTCATATTTCGCTGATATTGTTGCCCAAATGGCTCAAGATGTGAGTTGTTCAAGTTCATTTATTACATGATACAATAACTTTTAATGCACCTTTTAGCGAGTATGGTTCCATCATTCGTTTTAATTTACATCTCAAACTTATAGTTTATGTATGCAATCTAGCTGCTGCAAGATTAAAGAGCGAACCTGTAGATTTATGTAGAGTGCTTATGAGTATTTCTATTGACGGGGATACATAATTACATATGCTTCCAAAGTAAAACTTCTCCTTATTTTTTTTTTTTAAAGAAAATTAAAAAGGAAATTTAAGCCTATTGAATACATGAAATCATTTAGACGCAGAAACATAAAATTTGGCTCACAAGACCCCCCCCCCCCCCTCACACAGACACACAAAAAAAAAAAAAAGAAGGCAAGAAATTCTGTAGTTAAAGCTGGTTTCTGCTTAATTATCATAGCCACCTTGGTGTTATAGGCTTATTTGGTGTGGGTGTACGTCAAATTAGCAAACTTTCGACTGTGTGATCATTCTTTAGATCTCCCATCAAAATTGTGAGTTTAGCTGGTCAGTTCATGTTGAATCCCACATTCTACAGAACATATGAACTAATGAAGTTTTGAGTAACATTTCTTTCTGCTAAAACATGACGGAATGTATTGTTGTTGTACACCTACAGGGTTTTGATTTAGTTCTGATGAGACATTCTTACCTTGCTAGTTGGGTCTGCTCAAGAAATTCTTAATGGACTCAATGTAAATGACTTAAATAGTGCCACGACCAAGACTAAAATCATGTCCTGTCATTTACTTTCCTGCTTACTAGAGATTGATGAGCTTGACATTTGAAGTCTGAAGGACTGATTTAGTAAATAATGCATTAGGCTTTTTTAGTTGAAAAAAGTGTTAAAATCAAGATAAAGAATTTGAGGTTATGAATATTCCCATTTGCTGAAGATGTTCATCCAAGAAAGAATTCAAAGTTATGTTCTCCCTTTTAGAAGATTTTCATCCAAGAAACGTGATGTTAAACAATCACCAGGAGATACTTATGAGGAGTGCTTTCTACCATACCGATTGGAGAATTGATTGAATGTTGTTTTTTGGGACAGTGTGGCATGGTTCGTTTGTGAAAAGTATATTCTCTTATGTAATTCCAAAATACTTCAATGATTTCCCGTATCATGTGCATTTACTGAAATTTCATATGAGTTTTATTGATACTCTTTGCATTGCAAATTGCATCTCATGGTATTATGCAACAACACCATTCTAACTCCATGTCTACATTTATTGCAGCATAATATGCTCGGTGAACATCGGTCTCGCCTTACCAAACTGGTTAGCATTGGTGTCATGCTTATTTTATTCTAAAGTTTATGTTTCCTTCTGGTGCATGCTTAAACTGGCCTTGAATAAAATCTCATCATCCCGGGGTGGTTAAAAATACAACAAAAACGAAAATACTCTGATGTTAATGTTTTTTTAACTGTAAAGGTGTTTTGCAACTTAAGATGTCTGTTCTGAGTCATCCTATGTTAGGTTGTGCATGAATTTAATCGATTATATGATGGCCAATGAATTTACTGTTGGGCCTTAAGGATTGTTTATGAGATGGGTGAATTTGTAGTGATTGGTAGTGATGAACAGTATCTAATTTTGATGTTTTTGGGGAAAAGTTGTGCTAACTGGTATTATTTTGTAGAACAATCAAGAGATCTAGATACTGTTATTCATTAGTATCAGAAGTAGACTGCAACAAGTGTGGAAAATTAATAGTTGCTTCAACAGAGAATGAAGAAAAATAATAGGAGACAGAAAGAGATAGGGCAAATAGCGATTAGAGAAATAGATCAAGAGTCCTATGTTATTGATCGAATACCTTGTGCAATTGTCAATGCATTCAGCTATATTTGAAATTTATATAACGGAGGGGTATTAATGTTTTTAAAAGAAGAGGGTTTAAGTTAAATGATACCTAAGGTGATAATTGTTACAAATGGGCAAGTGTTACAACATATACTTTAGGGGTTGAAGTATTACATGGCTTATACTTTAGGGGTGCAATGCATCTTAATATTTTGATTGAATATGATGAGTTGCTATAGTGTAATATTTGAATCCAGAGGAGTAGTCCAAATATGGAATCCTTTACAGTCTAAAGAATTAATTTATCTCTATACTGAATTGTGATTGAACTAGTTAACCCACTTTGGTTGGTTAATTTACTAATAAGCTATCAAATAAAATGTGAAACCTTGTCTAAAGCTTTTCTTTTGCCACTAATTTGATAATATCTTTCTAAAATGGTTATTAGGGATGCCCTTGAATAGTCAACTTATTCTTCATTATTTTTCTTTTCTTTTTGCAGTTCCCTAAATTATAAGAATATGAGATAAATATGATATCATAATCCATAGAGCAGATATGATTTAGCTGTAGTTGGTCTAAAATTTGGATCAGTATTCAGTACCGTAAAACAATTTAATTTGATGAATTGGTTTAAGTTTTAAGGATCAGTTGAAAATGGGCTGGCTAAGTCGTAATTAGTTGGTGCAAACAATGATGTAACTATGTAGGAACAGATATAATGGTATTTATACGCTTTATGAATTTTTATGGCTTTCATCAAACATTCGTTGCCAACAAACTGTTTGCACTAGTACTCATTCAAAATGCGAGTGATTTCCTAGATTCTCTATTTCTCTTCACGTTCTTATGTTCGTTCCATCTTGTTCCTCACATTTCTTCTAGGCAAAATGGCTTGTGGAATCTGCTCTTGTCCCATTGAGATTTTTTCAGGAGCGTTGTGATGTAAGAACTTTTTTGTGACCGGCTTCTGTTTTATAAATTTAATGCATAAAGAAGAAACACTGAAGGCTTCCCTTTTCACCTATATTGTAGGAAGAATTTTTGTGGGAGGCCGAAATGATTAAGATAAAGGCTGCTGATTTGAAATCAAAAGAGGTATCTTATGCTATGGTTAAATTTCTATAGTGGCACAGTTTATGACAATGCTTGTTGTGGGTAGAACATGTATCTTTTCCATCCATTTGTTCTTAAAAAAATGTATTTTGGTTTCAGGTGCGAGTAAATACTCGTCTTCTTTATCAACAAACCAAGTTTAACTTGCTTCGAGAAGAAAGTGAGGGCTATGCCAAACTGGTAATACTTTTTTACTCAGTGATGTTTCTTTGGCCTTCATTGCCGTTATATTTGAGGAACTTTAGCTTTCATATTTATTTCAGGTTAACCCTTGCTGTGTAGTGTGGGGATTATTGCTTATTGAACTTCAATTGCTGAACTATTTCTGTCTTTCTTTCTAAATTTTTGATCTCTACTGTTAAATTTACTTCTGGAGAATAGAATATTATGCACACACAAACACACATGGTTACTCTATGGGTTTATTGCTTTGGATGGTTACTCTAAATATTTGCAGCCTTGAATTGAATGAGAAATCAAGAGTTGATAAAACTTGGGACTTCCATTCAGTGTTGAAGCTTTATTGGTCTAGACTGTAGAGTGTGCGGTTCTGGATTTTGTAGACCACTAATTGGCTGATGTTTGCTTAAACCCGTGTGATCTTATTTTTATTTAATTGGCTGATGTTTTTTGTGGTTGGGGAAGCCATTATAGTAGACTTCTCTACAAGCCTGCTTTGATGAAATATTTGGTGTCTGCAGAACCTTTATTCTTTTAGCATGGTTGATGTTCTCTTCTTTAATAGAGTATTTCTCTTTAGTAGCTATCTTTTTCATGCCATATTTTTTGCTTAATCATACACCTTTGACGTCTTGCAGGTTACACTCCTCTGTCAGGTTCCTGAAGCATCAACTAATAATGCATCAGCTGCAATAGTCGGCATTATTAAGGTTTAAGCTAATCTGAGGTTGACCTTTATTTTTATTTATCTCATGCTTTCTAATTTTTTGATAATTTTGCAGTCTTTGATTGGTCACTTTGATCTAGATCCAAATCGAGTTTTTGACATTGTAAGTTGGATATCCTACTTATTGCCCTTATTTTGTCATTTAGTAGTGGTCATTTTGCTCCGCAGTTAACTTTATGCGACCAGTTCCTTATTTAATTTCCTTATGTTGAAGGTGCTGGAATGTTTTGAGCTTCAGCTTGATAACAGTGCTTTCTTGGACTTAATTCCCATATTTCCCAAGGTATTGATGCTGTTTTCTTGTTTAATTTTTCCTTCCTTTTCACCAGTTTTCTCACATAATATGGTAGTTCATGCTGTTCCTTTGTTTAACTTTCCGTCACCCCTTTTCTCACATAATATGGTAGTTCATCTCCGTATGCCTAATATGTTTGTTCTGTCTATTCTTCCAGCTCTTTCGGTGCTTTATTGAGTGAGGAAATACGTTTATATGATTCTTTTTTCATTTTGTACAGTCCCATGCATCACAAATTCTTGGATTCAAGTTTCAGTATTTTCAGCGCATGGAAATCAATACTCCTGTCCCCACTGGGCTCTATCAGCTCACAGCTTTATTGGTGAAGAAAGATTTCATTGCCATTGATAGTATGTGAGTAAGCTATAACTCTGAGCAATTCTTGGGGTATCAAGCTTATTATGGTCCCTCTGGTATTGGAATAGTTATCCTGTGTTTTACCTAGCATCTTGTTTGGTCTATTTTTATCAAGAGACATTCCAGCCTGTTGCTTTGCATATTAAAGTTGATCGTAATTCTTTTGAAATTATTACAACCTGAAGTAGAATATCTGACTTCTGCCTCTATTTTCTCATTGAATTTAGTGTGAACAAATACCAATCTATGAAAGCCTTGATTGTTGAGATATGAGATGGGAGAATAGTATATATATTCACACCATCATATTATCTATGTTCTCATCCCTTGTGTAGTGTGTTATGCGTGACATTTATTTGAGTTGTAATGATTGAGTACTCGTTAATGAAAAAAATATTCTCTCTTTTAGTTATTTAAATATTAAATCTTTGAACATTTTCTAGTGAGTCATGGAAGTTGCAGTGAGTTTATCTGAAGCCAAACGCGTGGCTCTTTTTTCAGTGTTTGAAGTAACGGCGCTGTGATGGATTAGGATACTATATGGAGTATATAAATGGTCCTGGGTTGTGTTTAATCTTAACAATTATTGTTTACCTTGTCCTTGGTAGTTCAATTGAACTGCTTTACAAAACAAAGTTTATATATACATTGCAGTCAAAATGTTCTTTGCCACTGCCTCTTTTCGCATTAAGGTTGTTGGCCTACAGAGGAGTAATAATGTGGCTCGGTTTCATGCAGTTTTATGTTGTCGAGATGTGTAATGTATTGGATCCGGAATTTTTGGTTTGTCAATGCTTTAGCCTTGAATCATGCAGTTAAAATCTTTCTCGGGCGTTTTTTTTTTTCTCTCCATCTACTTTACATCAGTTATTTTGATATTATAAATTCTTTTTACTGTCTTATTGAATTTAACAACCAAAAGAAACCTGTTGATATGAATTTTTTTTTCGGTGCTCGTGTTTCTAAATTTCAGCATGCATCTTTATTCTTTAGCCAGTAATTTCATGCTCATATTTTGTCAACTTATTTCTAATGTTTGATATGGTATCCGTTTCAGATATTCACATTTACTTCCCAAGGATGAGGACGCATTTGAGCATTATAATGCCTTTTCAGCCAAGAGACTTGATGAGGTGGTTTAAATTATTTAATTGATCTGTTTTTTACTTCATTGGCTGCACATGTCTCTGATTTGTATCAAGTTGTTTTTGCTAAACCCGTCTTCATCATTTTTCATTGGTTGTCTTATGAACAATGTGTGCACACATGTACTTGTCATCGTCGTGTTGCCATTTCAAAAGCACAATCCATTTGTTTATATATCTTAAGATCTCACCTCTTGACTTTTTTTTTGGTATTTCCTTGCCTTACATCTGGTTTGTAGTTTCTTTTCCTTTACTATTGAATATTGCACCTAAATATCTGTTCTTCCATTGGGACAAATAGGCTAATAAGATTGGGAAAATTAATCTTGCCGCCACTGGAAAGGATCTCATGGATGATGAAAAACAAGGAGAAGTGACAGTAGATCTTTTTACTTCCTTGGACATGGAAACAATGGCTGTTGTGGAGAGATCCTCAGAGCTCGCAAATAATCAAACTCTAGGCTTACTGATGGGATTCCTTGCCGTGGATGACTGGTATACTGAGATTTCCCATTTTTGAATTTGTTTCAAGGTTTTATAACATCGGCTGGCACATGCTTTCTCCATCTCTCTTGCTTTCTTCTCATGATCTGGGTTGTTTCGAGTTTGTTTTTGCTTAAGTGTCATCATCATCATTACAGCATACAACTATTGTTACTATTATCGAAATTCTAATGTTCGACGATCCTAGACTTAGGCCCGACCCGATAATGAAAATTAGTTGCACCTTTAATATCTGTGGAAAAAGGAGAATTTCAGAGATAAGAATGACATTCAATTGCAGAGAAGAAAACATTACAAGGACAATCCAAAAAAGTTGATAACTTTCAATGTACACACTTCCTTAACCGACAAGTTCTCCATAGCTTATATGTGCCCTCTTCAAAACTAGAAGACATTCCGAGAATGAAGATCTCTATGTTCACTAGTTCAACCATACTGTTAGTCTGTTAAAATTCAACAATACTGTTTGTCTGTTAGGCCTCGGAGGCTTGGAATCCATATTACAGTTATGCTCACTTAAAGAGGATCCGTTAAACAGTAGCCTATTAGCCCTATGGAAATCCTATCAAAGAGGTCCATATAGTCTCCTTGAAAATTTAATTATAATGTCAATGAATAGCCCCATGGAAATCCTATTATATCCAAACAATTTAGTACAGAAGTATCTTCATGGCTTCTGTGTTTCCACATGAAGGGGCAATGCATTTTCTCTCTTCTTGTGCAAAATTGATAATTGTCCAAAGATTGTGGTACATGTAATATGTGTCCTCTCGTGCATCATTTATTAATCTTCCTAGCAGACACCACTTGATTACCTTAGTTAACATTTCAACCCATAAGTAATCTGTATCAGTAGAATGCCAAGGGTTTGGTTGGAACATGGATATTCTGTAGTTCTCCTGTCTTGTGGAACTGAAGAATCTGTCTCTTCCCACTCCTACCCATCTGTCTGTCTGCCATTTTAGTCCTTTTTATCCATTCTCATTTATTTAGCCAATAAATACTCACATTAAGCACTTGTATGCTAAAATCTCTCCATCTCCCTCTCTCCACAACCCCTACTCCCACTGCCTTTTCTACCATCATTAAGGAATCCCTAGGATTTGGGAATTGGGACTGTATTTTACTATTTTATGTGACTTCCTGTTTTTCGTTTGATGTCTCAGGTTCCATGCTCATCAACTATTGGAGCGCCTCTCGCCACTTAATCCGGTGGAACATATTCAAATTTGTAGTGGATTATTTAGGTAATGCTAACTACTTCATGCAATGGTGTCAATAATTTAACTGCAAATGATGTGATATGTTGTATAATATCTCATGTTTTCAGGTTCCATTTTTTGCTCTCTTTCTTGGTCCCTTTTTGTGCTTCTACCATTATTTAATACTCAAGTTTGTAATTCCGCTTTTTGATTTTTCTTTTAATCCAGGCTCATAGAAAAATCCATATTTTCGGCTTATAAAGTAGTAGGTCAAAAGCAGACTTTAAATGGTGGTTTATCCTCTGGCTCTGGTGCTGATTCGGAGACAGGAGGTTCTTCGTCCAATAGATCTTTCGTTAATCTGCCCAAAGAGTTGTTTGAAATGCTTGCTTCTGTTGGACCGTATCTTTATCGTGACACTTTGTTGATGCAGAAGGTCTGTCTCGTAGCTTTTTGTAACTTACTATTTACTCTTTGGTTTTCTCATTCCTCTTTCGTGGTGATTATTCTTGTTTTTCAGACAACCAGAGTGTTGAGAGCTTATTACCTTTGTGCCATAGAGCTTGTTAGCGATGGTGATGGGGCGTTTATTTCCCATTCTGTTACAGTGGGAAATCAAAATCCTCGCCTACACCTGAAGGATGCTAAATTAAGAATTGAGGAGGCACTTGGAACATGCCTTCTTCCTTCTTTGCAGTTGATACCCGCAAATCCTGCAGTTGGTCAGGAGATATGGGAACTTATGAGTGTCCTGCCCTACGAGGTTAGTCCAGCCACAAGTCCTTTTAATCTGTTATTTTTAGGATCAATTATGTTTAGCTTAACAGTGGTCTTATAAGTTGTTCCATTAGGTGCGCTATCGTTTGTATGGTGAATGGGAAAAGGATGATGAACGTTTTCCAATGATTTTAGTAGCCAGACAAACTGCAAGGGTAAGGATTTTTTTTCTTTTGTAGGACGTCGCCTTGCATGAATCATCTAGTAATCCTAATATGTTTGCTCTTTATAGTTGGATACTAGAAGGATTTTAAAACGTCTCGCCAAGGAAAATCTGAAGCAGCTGGGAAGAATGGTTGCTAAATTAGCTCATGCCAATCCTATGACAGTTCTTCGAACTATTGTTCATCAGGTAATTTATTTAGTTAGTAAAGCAGATTGGTTTATTTAATACTGGCCTTTTAGCAAAAATATATAATTGGCTATTCTATGGTGCAGATAGAGGCCTACAGGGATATGATTGCTCCAGTTGTGGATGCATTCAAGTATTTGACACAGGTCTGTCATCTACATGTTTTCTACTATGCATTTCATTACTATAGAATTACCTTGTCTATATCCAATTAAGAAAATATACTTTCTTTTCCAGTTTTATCCCTCTTCAATATATTTATGAAATATTGTAACAGTATTAAGAAGATTTTTTATTAGGATTTAGTAATACTATTAGTAATATTTATTAGGACTTTTTAAGTTATTTTTTCAAAGGTTGAGCTGGGTAAAATGAAATTCACCTTTTATTCAGTCTCTTGTCTGGAGTATTGTGGATGAAGAATTCTCTTCCTCCCAATAAAACTTTGACATATCCTTTCTTGGTACTAATAATTATGTGTTAAGTAGATTATATGAGTATAAGGATGTTTAGGTAAATACCTGCAACCCTGGAGATAGTATTCCATGTTTGTGCTCCCTTCTGTAGTTGTTGTCCTCTTGTTCCAGTGGACCATGTGATGATAAAAGATGGACCGTGATAACTAGTGTAGATATAATGTTGGCATGTCCTAATTACTTCAGTTTGCTTTGAGTTACTTCAATATTTTGAAGAATGAAATTGTATATTGCATTATGTTTTGTATACACTTGGAGTGTGAAAAGAAAAAGGAATTGAATATCAAACACCTACAACAGAAATCGAAACTATGAATGATTCAAGCTCTTCAATATCTTCAGTTGCCAAAACTGATTACTTTCATGCATTTTGCATCTGAAGAAGACAGCAAATATCAGTGCAAGTGCAGTACAAATATATAGATTACCTTATGCATGTTGTTGTGGTGGATATTGACTTTCTTTACAAGCTTCATTTTAAAAATACAAATTTTCTTTATTATTTTGATATACACATTATTTTGATTTTCCTTATACCTCTGTTGATGCCTATTAACAGCTTGAGTATGATATCTTGGAGTATGTTGTCGTTGAACGCTTGGCACAAGGTGGACGCGAGAAGCTTAAAGATGATGGTCTCAATCTGTCAGACTGGCTCCAATCCCTGGCATCATTTTGGGGTCATTTGTATGTCTCTTTCTTACCAACATATAACTGTGATTTGCTTGTTGATTCCGTTGTTTACAGACATATTGCAGAGTTGTTCTTTCCTTCATTTTGCTGTGACCCCTTCTTTGAAATTGAACCTTTGATGAATAATGGCATTGGGTGCTACTGCATAGTACGTTAATAGAACTCGTCCTGATAATTTTAGATAGTGTTTCTTAACATATATGAGGTGTGTTTAACAATTGAATTCATATGCTTTTTACTTTTCTATTTTCTTTGTTAGCTTTTCTGTTCCTTAAAATGTTTGCCCTGGGGTCTGGGTTCTTTTTGTGCTTTGAATGTTCTTTTTCAAGGGAGTTGTGGTCTTTAAGTATGTAAAAATTTAGTCTTGATTGCAATCAGTTATTTCTGTAAAGAACTAGATTTCCATGGGATGCTATGCCGAGTTTGCGGATTGGTTATTTTCTGGAGAAGCTGGAGCTGGAGCTAGAGGTGTAGTGGACCTGGAAGATTTGGATATTTGGTTGGCTCATCACTTTTGCTTTCTCTTATACACTTTTACTGGGCAGAATAAATCGGCTATCTTAGAATGGGGAATGCTTGTTTAGTTTGGGAATAGGGACGCCGGTCTGATGGAGTGAAGACGTTATCTTAAATCCTTCTTGCCTAAGTCCCCCCCTTTTCTTTCTTGATATCCGAGATCTTAAGGAGGTTTGAGGTGTTAGCTTCTTTTGGCTTGTGGAAGATTGTCTACTTCTATATATCAGTATAATCTTCTGATTTTGGCCTGTGTACTGTCATTTTGACATGCATATGTAACCTTGGAAGGTACTATCTATGAGCTCATCACATGATGGTTGGAGTGCCATACTTTTTGACATCTTAGATGAATAAATTTGATCATTTCTTGGATTGTGCTTTGGAGGAAGGGTAGTGCTGAAACTGTTCCATAGGATATAGACCAATTTGTTAAGCTGATGAGACGAATGAATAGTCATATAAGTTGGAGTGATTATGTTAAGTCCGACAAGAAGATACTTCATTTTCAAACTGGTTAAATATCGGTGGCCATCCTCTGCTGTATTTTGTAATAGTTATACAAGTTGGAGTAATTATGTTCAAGTCCGAAGAAAATATACTTTGTTTTCAGACTGGTTAAATATCGGTGGCCATCCTCGCTGTATTTTGTAGTTGTATGGATATCCATGAACATCTGTCTACTGTGAGGTGAAGATCAGATGGTTCTGTGTGTTGGAGACTGTGAATAGATCTGAATGACCGTGAGTGTATATTTTGGTCGCTTATGTCCACCAGCTTGGCTTGAAATTCCATTTTACTTTATGTTGGCATTTTGACCAAATTACATCATCGCTAATCAAAGATTTGTACTTGGACAAAGAATGGGTTAGGAACTACTTGCTATTCAATTTTTTCTCAAGGTGGCGTTGTTGGTATTGTTAACATCAGAAGTGGGTTTCTCAGTCCTGATTGAGTGGTTGAGCGGTTTATTTTTGGGTCTTATTGGCAAGACGTCTTATTTATCGCTTCGGTCTTCATTGTATTTAATCTTGGTGTTACTTGGGAAGAGCAACACAGTTTTCAATCGCCACTGGTGCTTTTGAAGATTTTGGAGAACTTGTTTTTCTTCTGCCCCATCCTCCAAAGCTCTCAAAGTTTCAAAGTATCCAATTGATGTAAGATGATTGAGAGGCATCTAACAGAAGCATGATTTTTATGTTGTGTCTTGTAAGTTATAGGATTAATGTGCATATAGATGCTGGGTTGATATAATACAAGAATATTGTGCTATATATAAGAAAATAATATTCTTGATGATTTAATCAATTAATTGTCTGTTTGTTCTGTGTGTTTCTTGCGACGCTTGTACTATATTTTATGTTAGCTGTCGTGTCTCTTTGATCTTACACTCTTTGATTTTAAATGTTAACATGCTTGTATATTATGTTAAGATATACGGACTAAGCTATGATATTTAGCATTAGGCTTTCTATGTTAATCTGGCTTGACATAATATTTCAAGTTTGCTCTTTAGATTTAGATTAAGAAAATGAAGAGTAATTCATTGAGACATGTGTTCTCTGGGAAATTAACTTTTTTTTATGAAAAAAGTATGTATTCCTAGTTAAGGTATTTGTTCTTACTGTCGATATGGTCTAAACTTATTTCGTATTTTACCTTTGGGTTCCATATTTTTTGGATTTAGTTTATGACTCTTATAACTTCCTAGCTTACTGGTAGATTTGTCTTTTTTTGTTATTCGCTAAGAGAGTATATCTTATTGATTTCCTTATAGACTGTAATTACTGTAATATTAATTTGGGAAGTGTTTGTAATCCTTATTTTTTCCTTATTTTTCTATTGTAAATTTCTTGTTGGTCAGTTTCTGTTGATTATACTTTGATACTTGTGACATGACATTCGATTGGTGCATTTTCTTTTCTAGGTGTAAAAAGTATCCATCAATGGAACTCAGGGGTCTTTTCCAGTATCTTGTAAATCAATTGAAGAAGGGCAATGGGATTGAGCTTGTTGTCCTGCAGGTTGTTTCATATTGACTGTATTATTTGTCACTTCGCACTTGTTGGCAAAAGTTTGTGTTGTAATTTCATGGATGATTTGTAATATATAACACAGCAGATAGCTATGTCTGACACTTCATATTTGTTACTAAAGAACTGTGTTTGTAATTTTATGATGCTATGTAGGAATTAATACAGCAGATGGCCAATGTCCAATACACAGAAAACATGACCGAGGATCAGTTAGATGCCATGGCAGGAAGTGACACACTCCGTTATCAGGCGACATCATTCGGCGTTATGAGGAATAACAAGGTGTCTTTTCGTGTGTAGTCACTAAAATTGTGGTGTTCCTCAATTGAAATATAATGCTAAAATTGATGCAAGAAATAGGTCAAGCAATGGATTCTTCTGTCTTTGGAATTAATAAACCTTCTTTTAATCAACGGAGAACATCACCGAAAATTCAGAATGTAAATAAGGAAAAAAAGACATTCCTTTTTCATAGAAAACTATTGGATGCATGAGTACATTGATCTTCTTTACTCCCCTCTTTAGTGTACTTCATAATTAGTTCAGCCATGTAGAAAAAAATTAAGAACATTCAGTTGTCAAAGAAAATCTATTGTACACATTATTACATTAGACTCTTATTTTCATTCCATTTTATATGACTAGTTCCCTATCTCTTGCCTTTGGTAATATATTTTTAAAACTGGAGTTGCCAATATAGTCGTGGTGCAGGTCTAAACTAATCTACTCAGAGGAGATAGTAAATGAATAGATCATATGATCTACTTGTAGTAATTGGTGTTTAGCAAGTTTTACTTGATTCATCATCTTCTCCTTTCCCGAAATCTGATATATGCTGGGTTTTACTGGCCTGTTGTTTTTTTTTTTTGTTTTTTTTTTTTAAATGTACTATATAAATTGCTCTGGTTATTTTAGAATTTTGCGTTCTTAACTCCAATAATGAATATCATTGTGCATATAATTTGTTTGGAATACTAATATCCACTCTGCCAAATTTAATGCGAGCTCATGAAACAGTATTACTGGACATCTTTGTGCATCTTGAAGTTTTCCTTGCTCGAGTTGAAAAGGTTTTCTGTCTTTACAGGCATTGATTAAGTCCACTAACAGGCTTAGAGATTCTTTACTCGCAAAGGAAGAGCCTAAATTGGCAGTTCCGCTTCTGCTTCTTATTGCCCAGCATCGATCTGTGTAAGCTCTGTGACTGTTAGTTAAACCATTAACATAATTATCAATGTTATTAGTGCATTGGAGATTGTCTGTTATATCATGCCAACGATATAGTGCAAGTTCAGAAGGTTCTTTTGTGTGTGTGTGTGGTGATGAGGGTCGGGTGCATCTCTTTTACAGCCATTTTGAATTGTTAGAATGTTCAATGAAGCAGTTCTTTAATGTTGTGTAAATGTTGTTCCATGCAGGGTTGTCATAAAAGCAAATGTGCCTCATATCAAAATGGTTTGTGAACAGTTCGATAGATGCCATGGAACCCTTCTTCAGTATGTGGAATTTCTTTGCAGTGCAGTGACTCCTACATCAACCTACGCTTTGCTGATTCCCACTCTTGATGAACTTGTACATCAATTTCATCTTGATCCTGAGGTCTCCTTATTCTTTTCTATTTAATTCCTTGAAGCTTGCGTTGTGATTTCTTCCTAATGTTTGGAACTTTTTTTTTTGTTTTTCTTGTTCGGTGGAGCTTTCTCATAATTTCAAACAACAGCATATATTGTTATGCTGAATAAGTGGATCTGTTTTTTCTCCTGTTTTATCTGTTTAGGTGGCCTTTTTGATCTATCGGCCAGTGATGAGACTTTTCAAGTGTCAAAGTACTTCCAGTTCCTTCTGGCCTTTAGAGTGTAATGAAACAGTGAAATCTGCGACTGCTGAAAAGGAGCTGGAACCTACAGATTCATCAACCGAATTGATTCTGGATCTTGGTTCTTCTCGCAAGCCTATTTCGTAATACCTCTTGCTCTCTCTATTTATGTTTTTGGTTGGCTATCAATGTTAGACGCTATCCTCATAAAACTCCGTTTCAGCAATTCTCATCACCGCCTTTCACTTAAATTTTAGCTTTTGTCATACACCATGCAGATGGCTTGATCTTCTTGGCACTGTCAGGACGATGCTGCCTCCAAAAGCCTGGAATAGTTTGTCTCCTGATTTATACGCAACCTTCTGGGGTCTTACTCTATATGATCTCTATGTACCTAGAAGTCGTTATGACTATGAGATTGCAAAGCTGCACGCTGCTCTTAAAGCTCTTGAAGAACTTTCTGATAATTCCAGTTCCGCAATTGCTAAAAGGAAAAAAGATAAAGAAAGAATTCAAGAGTCTCTAGATCGATTAACTATGGAACTCCACAACCATGAAGAACACGTTGAGTCTGTGCGTCGTCGACTTGCTCGTGAGAAGGATACTTGGTTGACTTCATGTCCAGATACTTTGAAAATCAATATGGAGTTTCTTCAGCGCTGTATATTTCCACGCTGTACATTCAGCATGCCAGATGCTGTATATTGCGCCAATTTTGTAAATACGCTTCATTCCTTGGGAACACCATTCTTTAACACCGTGAATCACATAGATGTTATGATATGTAAAACCTTACAACCGATGATATGCTGCTGCACTGAGTATGAAGTGGGTCGACTGGGAAGGTTCCTATTTGAGACATTAAAAACTGCTTACCGTTGGAAGGTAAGAATTGACATTTGGTATTTATTTTAAATTTCAGCTTCCTTTGTCTACCTACTACCATGTATAGATCTTTCACATAGGACATTCACTTACGTGCATCATTTATATTCGTTGTTTTTATACAAGCATTTATGTATTAATAACGGAAATTTTTTTCTGTAGAGTGATGAATCAGTATATGAGAGGGAGTGTGGAAACATGCCGGGATTTGCTGTCTATTACAGATATCCAAATAGCCAGCGTGTCACCTATGGTCAATTTATCAAGGTATGAGCATCTCCAATAAGGATAGCTATTTCAAAAACTCAAGTTAAAATTAGCTATCTAGTGTGCTTTAACTATCCACTTTTAACTATTTACTCCAACAAGACTTCTTCAAATTTTAGTTAACTATTATACTTTATTATTTTTAAAATATGTAAGTTTAAAAAATATAAATAACTATTTATTTTGTCTTATATATAAATAATAAAACATTTTTCTATAGTGTTATTATATAGTAATTTTAAACAGTCATATTCAAATTTCAAACGACTAGTTTATATAGATTATATTCTTTCTAATATTTAAACATAATAGATATTATAAATAATACTATTATATCATCAAAGTGGAGTGTAACAATAAATACACATATTTGTATACAATCCACGTATAAGAAAAAGTTATTTTTACTCTATTCTATCACATTCATGAAATATAAACAATTACCTATACTTATTTTATATATTCATGAAATATAAACAAATATTATATTAATTGTTTGGTGGTTACTTTTGGCAAAAAGTGGAAACCTATGTTTTAGCTCACTCTTCAAATTTAGCTATCCAAAGTTACAATTTAGCTATTCTCTAAATTTTAGCTACCTTTGTTGGAGTAGCTTCTTATGCCATGGATAGCTAAAATGTTCAAATTTAGCTATTGAGTAGCTATTTTTTTCCATTGTTGGAGATGCTCTAACCTAATGGATAAATGACAATTTGTTGCGGTTTTTTTTTTTTTTTTGAATATATGTATATTCCCACCTCTCTTCAACCCCTGAACCCCAACCATCCCCTCCGCTGCCCATAGCACCTATAAATTATATGGCCAGTGATGCCTTAAATACCACCACAGATATCTTAAAGCATATATACAAAGGAAAAGAGCCAAGTAGATTATAGACTACACTGAACCGGATCTACTTTTAAGAATAGTGACATATAAAGATTGGGGCTCGGGTTTGTCTTTGGTTACAGTCTATGTAACACACATCCACTAATGTGGTGTATGTGTCGATATGTTGCTGATGCTTTCATAAGAAAGTGAATATAGAAGTAAGAGTGGGGATAGGGGGTGAGGAAAGAAGAAAGATAAGAGGAAAGATAAGAGGAAAGAAGGAAACACATGGCTCGTAGGAATTTGCTGTAAAAACAGATGTATGATGTAATAGAACTTGGAACTACTTCATTTACTTCGGCTATTGTTTTGTTTTGATGTAACAAGAACTATATGATTGCATGTATTGATGCAATTACTGGAAATGGTTTATTGCAGGGGTATTTGGCCGCAAATTTATCTACTATTGCTAATTTGTAATATAACCTGACATATAATTTATTGTTAATTTTATTGTTTAACGTTGTGCAACTGGTAACATTAAGAACTATTTCTTGCTTTAAGGTTCACTGGAAATGGAGCCAACGGATCACTAAGCTACTGATTCAGTGTTTGGAATCAGCCGAGTATATGGAGATTCGAAATGCCCTTATTATGCTAACAAAAATCTCAAGTGTTTTTCCTGTTACTCGGAAGAGTGGTATCAACCTTGAAAAGCGGGTAAGGTGTAGGATTAGGATTTTCTTGATTTCACTTATTTTCCAAGATTTGCACTTAGTTCTGGCCATCTCCTTTCACTTTGTGCAGGTAGCTAAAATTAAAAGTGATGAAAGGGAGGATCTGAAAGTTTTAGCCACCGGTGTTGCTGCTGCATTGGCGGCTAGAAAGGTAGATTATGTAATGAATTTAATTTATCTGTTCGTAAAATCCATGACCTCGTCAACAAAGAAGGAAATGCTTGAAAATTGATTAATTTTATCTGTTCGTAATTTCACATGCTTGATTATTTATTTGATTTGTTGGGTTTACTTGCATTACAGTGATTAGGTAACGTATTCTTAAGCAATACGAGCCCTTTGATGGTATTGTAACTTTCGTTTCCTTTGAATATCAGTTGCTCATTTCCATCTTATTTGGTATTGGCAGCCATCATGGGTTACAGATGAGGAATTTGGCATGGGTTATCTCGATCTAAAGCCTGTTCCACCCCCTGCTACCAAGTCGTTATCAGCCAATGCTACTGCTCTACAAAACGGTGCTGGTCTTGGTGTTTCTCAAGCTGAGCAATCTGGTGGTAGAACTGTTCCCGTGGGAAATTTACAATCAGATTCTGGAAATTTGAGCAGAGATCCTAGAAGACTTGATGGTAAGATAGAAAGAATGCCATCTTATTTCAAACTGGAAGTTGGATCAATTACTGAGTCTAATCAATCCTACTTGCTGTGGTGTGTAATCTGGAATAATGCGGCCAGTTGACAATCTAAAACAGGTAGATGAATCAACAAACAAGCAGTTGGAGGAAAACTCAAAAGTTAATTCGAAGACATCTGTGGAGCCTGAGGTAGGTGTTAAATAAAGTACGATTGATTTCTCCGTGATAGTTGGTACAATATCTTTTCTACTTTGATTAAACTTTTTCAGTCCCATGCATAATTTAAGTGTTTTTATTTATTCCTCTTTCCGAGTATATATTTAACTAGCTTGTGGGTCGATATGTCATAATTTGTACTTCAATTCGATGCACCCTTTTAAGTACCTGAACCCAAATTAGGATGAGAGCTCTTTGGAAAGTTCCAAAGAGAGGCACGTAGAATATTTTCCTTATACTGCTTTTGTTTCCCTTTTTTTTTTCTTTGTCTTATTATGTAATACTCAGGTGCCATTATAATATACAATAGAATCCTACAAAATTACTTCATGGTATTCATGTATGTTCATGCGGTGGCGAGACTAGAGACTGTTACTTGTTGAGTTTTGTCATGAAGTCCATTGAGCTCTCTGTAACATTTGTGCATATAGGATCTGATTGATTATGCTGACCTGTAACTTCTATACATTTGATGTCCTGCAATGTTAGTTGCTTAAATTTACTGTTACTCTATTTGTACTTTTGTCTGTTTGCTCGTATGTTATTTATATTATCAGCTCTTGCTGTCATGTCATTTATATCATTGCTACTACCACCATGACCAAGCACCACCAGCTACTGCTATTGTATTATGACTTCTCTACTTTAGGTTGAAGGGGACAAAAGCTTTATGATAAAATTTGCTATTTTATACATTGTATGTTACTGTATTCTTTATTTCTCCAGTTAATAAATCAGCTTACTGATACAGGCGAGGGCGACGGTGAAACGGTCTACAGCAGTTGGATCTGTTGCTAAGCAGGCAAAGCAGGATGCTGCCAAAGATGATGAAAAATCTGGAAAGGCAGTTGGCAGAACTTCAGGTTTTTCTTCTAGTGATAGAACCTATTTACTTATCCCTTGCTATGTACATTTTGGAACTGCTAAAACTCTTCTGCAATTTCAGGAAATGCTGCTACTTCAGCTAAAGTAGCAAACTCATCTAGTAGATCTTTGGATCATAACAATGAAATCAAAGCCGAGATCACGAATGCGAAGCCTTCTGATTCAAGGGTTCATAGCGGGAAAGACGAGGGTACTGAACACTTGGATGCGCATAAACATCCAACTTCCAGACCTATTCATTCTCCCAGACCGGAGAATCTTATTGCAGCTTCGAAATCCGCCGATAAACCTCAAAAGAGAGTCAGTCCAGCTGAAGAAAATGACCGCCTAAATAAACGCCGGAAAGCAGAAACTGATTTTAGAGATGTAGACAGCACTGAAGTTCGACTGTCTGAAAAGGAGAGGACAGCTGATGTACGAGGTCTAGATAGACCTGGCTCTGAAGAACAGAGCAACAACAGGGTTACAGATAAGCCAGTGGATAGATCAAAAGAAAAGAGCGGTGACCGATATGATAGGGATTATAGGGAACGATTAGAGCGCCCTGAAAAGTCACGAGGAGATGATTTTTTATCTGAAAAGTCAAGGGACAGGTCACTAGAAAGGCATGGAAGAGAGCGTTCTGTTGAGAGATTGCAAGAAAGAGGTGCAGATAGGAACTTTGATAGGCTAGCAAAAGATGACAGAAGCAAAGTGCGTTATGCTGAAGTATCTGTGGAGAAATCACATGTAGATGACAGATTACACGGGCAAGGCTTGCCTCCACCTCCGCCTCTACCACCTCATCTCATCCCACAGTCCCTCAGTGCCGGTAGAAGGGATGAAGATGCTGATAGGCGATTTGGAAATGCCAGACATGCACAAAAGCTTTCTCCAAGAAATGAAGATAGAGAAAGGAGAAGATCGGAAGAGAATGCTTCAGCATTACAGGATGATACAAAAAGGAGAAGAGAAGATGAAATTCGTGACAGAAAGCGTGATGAGCGTGATGCTGCAGTATCAACAAAGGTAGGTACAATGATTTGTCTTTCGGTCATTTTAGATCTTTATTTTCTATTTAAAATGTTTGAATTGCCAGTTGCTTGTGCTTTTGTTTGCTATTGCATGTCATACTGTTTAGTTAACTATCTATTACATGAGCTGCCAATCAAGAGAACGAGAGAAATGAATTCGATCAACTTTAGGGATCTAAATTGCTGGAGGGTCGTAGCTGATGTACACAAATGATTTTATGTTCTGTACTGAATGTTGTTTATCACAGTGACTGTAACTTAATATCTGGTAGGCGAATATACTCTGTGGTGATACAACTGTTTTCCATGGCTATTCATTTGTTTTCATGTACTATGATTTATCATGTAGATAGAGGAGAGGGAGAGGGATAAAGCAAACACTAACAAGGAAGATATGGATCCAAATGCTTCGAAAAGACGGAAACTCAAAAGGGAGCATATACCGTCAGAACCTGGAGAGTATTTACCATCCGCACCTCAATCTCCTGCCCTTTCAATTAACTTGTCGCAATCTCACGATGGAAGAGACAGGGTAGACCGCAAGGGCATTGTAGTCCAACGACCTGCTTATGTAGAGGATCCTGGCCTGAGGGCTCACAGCAAAGAAGCAGCCAGCAAAACAACTCGTCGCGATGCTGACCCGTATGCTCGACAAACTCTGTGCTTTTTAATTAGCTTTATCTTGAACTTTCATCCTTATATACCTATGCCTCGTTTGGTTGCCACAATGGAGTTAGTCAAGATAACATGTTTGCCAATTTAGGAGTGTGGAGCAGAATTTTTGGACCAGCCCGAAAATTTATTGAACTATCCAAATACCAAACAAAGCCAAGTATTTATTTAGTCATTGCATATGTGCCCAACCAAATGAGTCTCTACTGTGCTTGTTCTTTGTTTTATTTTACTTACCCTCGTAGTTTACTTGAACATATAATTTGGATTTTGCACTTCTAAATTGATGAATTGACCGTAGGTTAGTGACGTCTTGTTAGTAGCACTCTTGAAAATGATTTTGTTGCTTTGACCTATGAAATACGAGTTGATATGTACTTGATTTGCAGTACAGTTTAATCTGCCAATGACTTGATAATTTGAACCCCTTAACTATCTGTTCTAGGATGTACGATAGAGAATGGGATGACGACAAGAGGCAGAGAGCTGAACAAAAGAGGAGGCACCACCGCAAATAAACTCCGCTAATAGTTCGACAGACTGAAACTTGCAAGTGGGAAGTGATATTGTAAGTTGAGTTGCTTCTAATTTTTAAATTGTGCCGATTGTTTGAAAGAACAGAAAGATTTCTGAAAGGCGGGCGGGCGAATTTCTTATGATGAATCATGTAACATTAGAAATTAAATTTTGAGGGAGACTATGTGTACTCGTGTTGTGTATTATGTACATTGCTATATATGTTACGACCAATCAGAAAGGATAATGTAGAAGTTGAAGACGTTAATTTGTCTCGACCTATTTTTTCTTCATCATGATTCACCGATCTGTTGTATTCAAATAACGCGGGCATATTCATAGAAAATGAGTTTGAAGGTTCAGTTTACTGTAATATTGCGGCGATAGAATAAAAATAGCTGTTGTATTTTTCCCTTATGTGTTTTTGTTCAATCGGTGAAGTGAACTGTGATTTTGCGTTTAGGTTTCATTTGGATCGACGAATTCGAAGTTGAGCATTTCGAATTTAAATTTACTGAAACTTATTTGGATAGTGTACGGTACAATGACTTTGAACATCTCAAAATCATTAGTTATTGTAATTGACTCGAAATAACAACTTTAAACTAAGTTCAGAGCAATGAATTTTAAAGAGGGCAAATTATGGCCATCCCTGAGCTAAGTCTAAATTACGAAAATATTCCTTTTATTTGGATAATTACAACCATCTCTTTAACTATGTATTGTCTTAAAAAAAAAAACCCTCCTCTATTAGGTAATTTTGACATCGTAAGGGTGGACATGTGTAATTATCCAAACAAGAGGGGGTTTTTCGTAATTTGACGATACCAAATGGGATTTGCCGGTTTAAATAATTAACTGTTAGAGGAGCTCCCATGTGACCATTGGGGTATTAGGGCAGGACCCACAATAGAAATTTGTTTTCTGCATATCCTGGTGAAAAGGGTTTGCAATCTGAAGTACATGTGGACTGTATAATTGCATTTCCCACCCAATATTTCCTTCATATTTACCATTTCTTGAACCCAACCAAGAATCACCACAAATGGAAGCTTCTAGAAGGTCCTCCCAACCAACACTACTATTATTGTAATTCTCATCATCAGAATCTTCCCACTGTATCAACAATGGCTCCAATGCTTCTATCTCTTTCTCTTTCTTCGCCACCACTTGTTCGTCAAACCCTTCACCTATTCCCGCTCGTTTGTCGCCGCAAATACTTGCCGGAGAATGTTCCACATTCGTTGCAGACGAATTAGACGACTCGTCAGTCAACTGCCACATGCCGTTGAGAAACGTCTCGAGCGCCCGTATTTGAATACCGGGTATCCGATCGATAAACGGGTACTCGTAGGGTCCACAGTATCCCATACACTTGCACCACTCATGGAATCCAGAGAGGTGGTCGGCTTGAACGGCCGCTTTCTTGTATATTCCAAAGGCCGCCACACAATTCCGGTAAGGTAACTGTGTCAGGTTTTCAAGAACCACCACAATCTCCCTCCTGAAAGCGGCGTGGCATGCGAATCCGTGGCGGATAACTTGTTTCATAGCCGATTCTACGAGGAAGTTTCTAGAAGCCGAGCCGCCGGGCCAGCATTCTATCACTCTGTCTATTAGGCTTTGCAGTTGAGGCAAGATTTCGATTATTCTTCCCAATTGTTGCATTTTATGTTCCAATTCTTCTTCTTGTTCTTCGTCTTCATCTTCAAGATAGAGTGTTTCCCGTACTTGCTCATCTAAAGAAACGCAATCTAGCGCTTCATCGAGTAGCCTAGCGTAAGACCTCACGAAAGATGTGTAGTCGTCAGAAGCAGAGGACGAGCGGTCGCGGAAGTTGCAAGGGTAGAGAGAGAGTCGACCGTTCGTTCGGGCCCACATGAGCTCGGCCCGAAATGGGGTGTTGTTGGGTAGGGAGCGGAGGAGGCGGTGGAGGAGGATAAGGCATTTGAGGGCCACTCGCCACGAGTGGGTCCCGGTGAAACGGCGGGTGAAGCTTAGGGCGAAAGCCCGGTGGGAGGAGCACGGGGAGATGGAGAAGATCTTCAATAGCTCGTGGACGTACTTATCTGGGACGAGGGTGTCGTCCGGTGAAGTTGCTTTCACGATTATGAGGTCGATGTCGCAGTACCCTCCGATGGTTGCGATTTTGGCGTAGCTGACACGCGTGTGTTCTCTGATTGTGGTGAAGACTTGCCGAATTCGCTTTTGCATTTTTTTTCTTTTTTTTTTGGTTGGTGGTGAAAATTTGGAAGGTGGAGTGGTGGTGGAATGAGTGTTTTCTTGGTGGTGTAATAAGTTGCTCTATAGAGGTTAAAAAAAAAGAATGGTTAAAAGGTTTAGAGTTGTAAAGCATAAAGACTATCGACATGAGTTGTTTGTTGTTGCCTAGGTTTAGTTGGTTTTGTTTTTATGTGTGTGTTTTAATGTTTTTTTGGGGGCATGTTTCACATTTTGGATGTTTTTATGTATACAAGGGGAGCTACAAGAACAATTAGTTGCTGGCCGTTTGTTGGATATGATTTGTGTTGGTTTATTTTATATAATAGTATATATGTTTTGAAGTAATTGATATATCACATAATAAAATATAGTTTCTAGAAAATAAATGGAGTTGTTCAAAAATAAAATCGGACAACAAAACAGTAGTAAATAATGTGTATGTGGGGTTTCCTAACGTAATCACTCAACTTCTGACTAGTTTATTAACCTACCCTATACGTTAGTGGTAGACTAACTTCTATGATATCTAACTTCTTGCGACTCCCAGTGGTTTCTACAATTGTTATGATACTCTATTTCCACGATCGTCAAACTAAAGAGTAGTACGAGTACAACGCTTTACAATAAAAATTAAAACTTCAAAATAATTTGAATTTCCGGTACCAATAATCGGAAATCACAATTTGAGAAATTAGAAAAGAAAAAAAAACATTTGTGTTGGAAACATTTGATTTCAAATGAACGAAATTAAAATAGGGTGAATAACACTTACCCTTCCTGCGGTTTGAACTTTATGCACATGAGACCCCCTTGTACTTTCAATATAGCACATGACCCCCTGTACCTCAAAAAAATTCTTTTTCTAATGAGTATGATTATTTATTTACACACTGCAATACCATAAGAGATTATGTGCTTATATTAAAAGTACAAGGGGGTCGTGTACACAAAGTTCAAACTACAGAGAGATATTAAAAGATCAAGGGGATCATGTGTATAAAATTCAAACTATAGGGAGTCATGTGTTCATATTGAAAGTATAAGGCATCAATGTGCAAAAAACTAAAACCTTGAGGGGCTAAGTGCTATTTACCCATTATAAATATTACGTTTCAAATTTTTTTACCGTAACCCAATAAAAGCCCAACATATAAATAATGGGTTTCGAATGATCCAATAATAATTACTGCAGAGAGAAATCTCTTTCTGGGGAAAAAAATCAAACAAAAACCCAAAAGAGGGATGGCCAATCTCCGGTGCACACGTGGCGTCTAATCATTGGCCGAGGCACCGTGTCACAGCACCCATCTCCACTTGTCCACCGCTGTTACGTAATTCCCACTGGAATTCGCAGACCCAGCACCGTCAATGGCGTTGAGATCCGGCGGCCGTAAGCTGTCCTTCGATATCCTGGCGATCTCACAATACGACGACGTTGTGGCCGCCACCTCCCTATCCCGCTCCAACTCCGATCCCCACGGCGACGGCGCGTCATCCCCCACTCGCAGGAAGAAGAAGAAGAGGAGGAGCAGGAAGGGGAAAACCCTCCTTGATTCGTCTGCGGTTTCCGAAATTTCTGCGATCGACGGGGATGTGAGTTACAGTTGCACGACGAGCACCGTCACGGAGGCCGCCGTGGTGCCGCCGGATTTGGACGGCGAGAGTAGCTTCGCGGTGACGCTGCCGCTGGTGTTCGGGGAGCTGAGGCAGAGGAATGTGGGGAGTATGGCGAACGGAGGAGGGAGTGCGGAGATGATGATGGTGAGTGAGGAGAGTGGGTGTTCTAAGAAGGATGATAATGTGAAGGAGGAAATTGCGGAGAAACAGAGCGGCGGCGAGGAAATCGATTCGGATCAGAAGGCGGAGTTGAGCGGGAGGAAATTGGAGAAAGAGGGAACTTTGGATTGGAAGAAATTGATGGCTGAAGATCCCAATTGTAAGTTGATTACACGAACCTTGTTTCGGGTTAAGAATATTTAAATGTAGTGTTGCTTATGCTTCTGCTAGTAATCGAGAATTTAACAATCCGCTTATCGATGCTGTTATGCTTCATGTTAGATACGTTACCGGTGGAGAAGTCACCGATGAAATATTTCATGGATGAAATGTATGCTGGAAATTCCTTAAGGAGCACTACCACCCTAGGAAACGACAAAGAGCGCGAACGAGTTTACGATACTATATTCCGTTTGCCATGGCGTTGTGAATTGGTAAGGTGGCAGACTTGAAGCAACTCATTTCCAAGTGTATTTACTTTTTGGATGGTTTTTCTTTCTTGTGTAATTGGAATATTTCTAAGCGTAGCTATCCTTGTATTAGTCACATCACCTTTGTGTTAGCTATTAGCTATGGAATTTACTAATGAGATGAAATCATGCCTCATTATTCTCTTTTGATTTTCAACTGGAAGTGCCGGATATAATCGTGTTTTACTTTTTAGAATTGAAGATATTTTTTACATATTTGATGTCAATTGTTATGTTGGTTTAGGAGTTGAGTTCCTTCTTTGGGTTGTCTGATTGAAAAGATTTCTTTTGCAGCTTATCAATTTTGGGTTCTTTGTGTGCTTCGATTCATTCCTGTCACTCTTAACCATCATGCCGACAAGGATCATCATGACCTTCTGGAGGCTTCTTAGAACCAGGTCAGTTTCTTGTCTCTCTAATCAATTGTGTCCACAGTGAAATATCCGATGCTATTTTCTTTATTAGTTTGTTGGGTTCTTTTGCAACATGTGTTTGGTGCATCAGTTTCTTTACTATTTTCTCGTACAACATAGTGTAATAAGTGTTAGAGACTTGGAGTGCAGGAATATGCTCATCACACTTATTTTAGGATTTCTTTTTTGATATTTTGCGAGGCTAGTTGTAACTTAGGTGTCCTGCATATGAAAGAGTGGGATTACCATATTGTTATCTTTGATCTGCTGAATAAGGTCCCTTGATTCTAGATCGTATCTTTGTCTTACAGCTTGGAGCAAGAAAGCAAAGAAGCCTAATATTTTAGCTCATGTTTTTTCCCTTAGGACTGAGTAGGAAATATGAACAAGTGTTATTGATGTCTTTATTCAGATTGGACCGCTGCCCCAGTAAAGATAGTTTGATAATAAGCAACTGGCTTAAAATGTTTAAGCCCATTTCCTTGTAAGCCATTTGTTTGGTTTGTCCGTGAACCATTAGAACTCGGTATAGCAGTTTTCATTATGTTAATTGCTATCAGAATTGACTGGTGACGAAATGCAATAACTAGTTTCTCAAATCTCAATGCAATCACCAATTTTCCTCGGGAAATTTGCAATTTTACTCATCTAAGATGTATTATATGAGAACTCTGCATACTTCGAAATCACATTTTCCCCTTTCGATTCCATCAACTGGACAAAATAGGATATTATTAGATAACCTTACAACTTTCATAAACATCATGAACTTGGATAGTGGCTAAATCTGCTTGGTGCGTCTAATCCGTTATGTTCCCCCGTTCTTTTTTATTGTCTTCAAAACTCTTTATTATAATTTTATAAATTCATTTTTCTATCTTCGCATGAATAGTCTACTAATTATGAATGGTGATCCTGTTTTCTTCAAAATATACCATGTAATATCTTCAGGGGCCCTAAATGTTACAGATAATTTAACCATGGTTGTGGCAGGCAGTTAAAGAGACCTTCATCAGCGGAGCTATCTGATTATGGCTGCTTTGTCGTCCTGGTTGCTGGAGTCACTCTACTACAGCAAGCAGGTTTAGTAAATTTAGTCCACAATCTTTCAGCAAATCTTTCATCACTTATTGGTTGAAGTGGTGGTTGACCTCCCCAACTCCCCAATAAATTTCCTAGTGCACGTAGCAAAATTGTGTCATGACAATTTGTTCTGAATATTTTTTTCTGGCTCAGATATCAGCTTAATTTATCACATGATCCGCGGCCAAGGGATTATTAAGCTCTATGTGGTGTACAATGTTTTGGAGGTAAGTTATGGTCCATCTTAAATACTTACACCCTTTTTTTTCCGACTTATTCCAATAGATACTTGAAATTCTGAGATGTATTGATCCGAGTCTAAGTTCACTTGGATGTCACATTGTCAAAATCCTTGTTTCTTTTACTGTTTTTAGTATAATGCATTCCATCATAGTTTCTTTTATTTACTTTTACTTTCGTGTTTTGCATGAGAGGCATAAAGATTAAAGTAATAGATTTTTCTCTTTCGATTGCAGATATTTGATAAATTATGCCAAAGTTTTGGTGGTGATGTAATGCAATCTCTATTCAATTCAGCAGATGGACTTGCAAACTGCTCACAAGAAAATGTGCAATTTTGGCTGTGGAGATTTTTTTCAGATGAAGTCTTAGCAGTTGTTTCTTCTAATATCCTTTTCATCATAATGCATTTCTACCTATTAATATTTGAGTTATCATTCATAAGTCTGGCATTAGTGTAGCTCCTCAACTGCTCCTACTTATTCATTCATTCGTCTTATTAGCTCAGGCAATTACTTTGTCAACATGTATAGTTGCTCATAACAATGCGCTATTCGCTATGCTCGTGTCTAACAATTTTGCTGAGATTAAAAGCAACGTGTTCAAACGTTATAGCAAGGAAAACGTTCAGAGTTTAGTATACTTCGGTGAGTAAATTTCTTCTATTTTTTTTTTAAAACCATATATTTTGTCAATGAGTATACAAGGTTCCCTCAGATATCTAACACATGGTTCTTTTTTATTAACTGCTCATTACCAGATTCGGTTGAGCGGTTCCATATTATGGCATTTGTCTTATTTGTTTTAGCGCAAAATATACTCGAAGCTGAAGGTCCTTGGTTCGAAAGCTTTCTTTGTGTAAGTGACGAGTATCAATATTGTACAAGATTCATATCTATCTAGTAATGACTTGCGTTCTTATAATTCTTTAACCCTTTTCGGTATGAATCTTGCAGAATGCGCTGGTTGTTTACGTATGTGAAGTGATGATAGATATAATAAAACACTCATTCATTGCTAAATTCAATGATATAAAGCCTATTGCATTCTCCGAATTTCTAGAAGATCTTTGCAAGCAGGTAATTTATGAAATCAAAACATCTAACCCAAATTTCATCTATACCTGTTTTTTTTTCTTCTTTATTTACAAGCTTGGATAATGTAATAACATTTTTTTCCGATTTATGTTCTCTTTTCCAGACGTTAAATATTCAAACAGAGAATGGAAAGAAGAATCTCATTTTTGTACCTTTGGCACCAGCTTGTGTGGTAAGGCGTTGCTCGTTATACGATCCCCTTTATTAATTATGATGTCATAAGTTTATCAACTACGCCATTTTACTTGTTCGTTGTGCTAAAATATTCTGATTTATTTTAGGTAATTCGTGTTCTACGGCCCGTTTATGCAGCCCATCTTCCTTACAATCCTCTTCCATGGAGACTTTTTTGGATGCTCGTGTTATTTGCCATGACATTTGTGATGCTTGCTAGTCTTAAGATGATGATCGGCATGGGCCTACGTAAACACGCCAGGTGGTATGTCCGAAGATGCCAGAGAAGAAAACTTCACTTCGATTAAGGTTATCATATTACATTATATTATATTATACACATTACTGCAATCACTCGACCGACCTTGGTTTTGATGCATACTTGTATATCTCTATGGATGGTGGGCCCCGGCAATTCTCATGAGTTATCGATTTTTCTTTTCTCCCGGTGCCGAATCATCTTGCAGTACATGGATAGATATAATCCTATCAATTTTGTGTTAGATGGTAGGATTGGGGAGGATTGTGAATGATTGACAACGGGAGAAGGATCGACTAATTAAATTAAGGTTGTATAGTATTTCTTTTCCTCATAGTAAGAACTGAGAGACGAAGATATTTACGAAGTCAACAAATACATTATACAAATTTGCAGTTCTCTTCTGTTTTGTTCATTGTTATTTTTAAAGCACATTATTTTACTTGTTTTTTGAGTTTCTATTAAAAAAGTTGGTGAGTCGTGTAATTATTGACCAAATGATTTTTTTTGAGAAAATTGAAAATCTCCGATAAACTCATTATCGGCCGGCAAATATCTATGAGATTGTTAACGATCGATTACCAGCCATGAAAAATAATTTAAAAGTTGATCTAATAGAGTAATTTATATTATTTGTAAAATTGTGTTAAAACGCATTTGTAAACTGCGTTTTCTGTTACGTATGTACTTCGACGCGATTTCTCTATCTCGTTCAATCTAGATCTAATGAATCAGTTGACCGATAAAACTGACCTATAATAGTCCTAGTAATAGATATAAATAAACCTACACTTTTCTATTCCACAAGTGTGTGACACACTATATATTGTCCACCAAATATAGCAAATATCCATGATTCCCTATTTTTGCCATAACTACACTTAAATCAAAAAAAAATGTAAAATAATCAAAAACAAATCTAGGGGAAAAGACTAGCTGATTTGTTTCGACTCGGGTGGAAATTGAAACAAATAATTAATTTATATCAAGGGTAAATTACGTCCAACCTCCTAAGTTAAGGTTAAATTATGAAAAAAATCTTTCATGTTTGGGTAATTACAACCATCCTTCAATTATGAATCTTCTTACACATCCACCCTCGAGTGTCAAATTTAGTGAAATCTTCTAGATTATGTGGAACATTCTCCAATTTGTACCCGTTTTATCCCATTCGAGCTCCACATTTTGAAACGAGATGATCATAAGATGTGTCTCTTGGCTTGTAAATATCAGATTGTGGTGCATCAGAAACTGTATTTTTTGCACATAACGAGTACAAACTAGATAACATTCCACGGAATCAGGAATCTAGAAGATTATGTTGAATTGGACACAATAAGAATGGACGTGTAAGAAGATTCATAATTGAGGGGTGTGATCGTAATTATCCAAACATGAGGGAGGTTTCGTAATTTAACCTTACCTTAGGGGGTAACAGTAATTTACCCCTTATATCAATTCAGATTTGAAAAAATCGATTCGAAACAATATTTTTTCATTTTAGATCCCAAAAATCCGACTCTAATTTTATTCGGAATTGTAAAATATACAAGATTTCGATTTTAATTTCCAAATATTTTGAAAATTCTTGAAAGACATATTTTGAGATCGTGGCGGGGGCAATAACAAATTGTCGTTATTCATCCATATGATGTAACTAAAACCATATATTATATATTCTCTTTATCTCTCCTCTTTCTCTCTCTCTCTAAAAAAATCTCGTGTAGCACACCTCTTTATGTCTGCCATAAATCCATGTGAAACCATTAATCAGACACTTTATATAACCCCATTAAACATGGGGATTAAAATAATGGGGCCCAACCAAACCCATTATTGATAATACACCTGAAAATGGACAAAATCAGACGCCATCACCGACCCGACAAAGATCTCCATATTTTGACAAACTCACCAAATTCACTATTTCTAACTTCAAACAAAGAAGAGAGAGAGAGAAAAAATACACAAGAAAAAAAACATATAACTATCCAATTTAGTCAAAAATGTCTCTTTCTTTTCTTATATTCTTCCTCCTAATCGCCTCAAACAAGGGTTATATAGATTTTACGTCAATTCATGATACAATGAGTGATTCTGCATCATTGATCTACATATAATAAACACACATCTATGTGTACGTGTGCTTCGTAGCTGGTTATTCGTGTAAATCTACGATGCAAAATTACTCAATATTTTTCACCAGGTGTAGCATCTCATAGACCTCAAACAAGTCAGCTTAAAATTGATTTTCTTTATATCAAAATTACAATGACCTAGTTAAATTCTCATTTTAGTAGCAAATGAAAACATTTATATATGAATTTAAGGATCAATCATTAATTTAATGGTTTAATATCTACTTATAATATGAAACTAGACAAAACATAATAAATTTATCAAGAATTTAAATGTTTTTCAACCTCAACAAATCCAAATAAAGAATTCAATAATAATGTCACACCAATCCCATCCCCATCCAGTCTTTATGCTGTACACAACTCAAGTAGAACACAACGATGTGGACTAATAATTAAATAAACACTAGCATAATATTTAACTAAAATACACGTGGCACTTTATTTTGTATTAAAAATAAATAAAATTAAAATTCTTTTTCATATCACAAAAAGTATTGAGAATAAATAAATGAAATTTGTGAACTTGAGCCTTTTTTTTAACACAAAGGAGCCCTCCTTGGTGCTAAACTCTTTCTCTTGTGCAACATCCTTTTCGGCCTTAAAGCCGAACCGAACCACGCCTGGATTACTTCCGACGACTCGGTTAAAGATTGAGACGAAGCATATCCGTTTTCATACGAATTTTCTTCTTGATCCAACTTCCGAAAATGGCCAATATTCGACATTGGAGTGGATATAATCTCGTTCCTTCCGTGTATCGTTATATCTTTGTCTGTCGATGAAACCTGCAAAAGAAACGAGCAATGCTTTTAGAAATCGAACATTAAGGAAATAGAGTGTGGTGGATGATTTGATTAATTACTTTGCAAGCAATGGAACAGAAGCGATTAGGCAAGTCTTGTATGTGCCTTCCACAAGATTCGCAGCAAGTTCCGAAACTACCCTTTGCCTTCGAGTTTTTCGCGTCTTTTAGTTGAGGCCTTGGATTCAAATGGACAGCCTTTTCTCCATTTATTTTATACGCCTGCAAATAAATGCGTCTTGTTTTAGTGAATCGGTGCAAAAACCGACGTTAATTGTTCAAGTTATCGATATTAGCTAAGAGAATGCAGCTCTTTGTACCCGGTGACGGAGCTAGCATAAGGCTAGGGGGCCATGGCCCCCTAACATTTCTCAAATCACTATAAAATTGTGTATAATAGCATTAAACGAGAAATTAAAAGTTGTTGAAACTTGTTATTGAGATAATCATGAACTACCATATCAGATTACAGCAAGAAACCGGCGATTTAAAATCTAAATAGAATCCAATGCGTTTATCCAAATCAAATAATAATTAATTAATTAATTCAAAAAAATAATTATAAGAAAAAAAATACTGACTTGAATAAGAGAGCAGTCGAGGTGGTGCTGAATATCGTGAAGCCGAACGACGTCGCGGTAAACGTATTTGCAGATTTGGAGGAGGCGGTGGAAATGGAGGCAGCCACGTGGCGGCGCCGGAGGAGAGATGACGCAATGCTTACATAAGCAGATATTGCAATCTATACAGTACAGATTCTTCTCGTTCCTCCTCAATTCTCCGTGATCCACGCACGAACCGAAGAATTTGCTTCGGAGTAAACCGCTCACCCACTCCGCCGCCGCCGCCGGTTTTCTCTTCCTCGACCGGACTGAAATTCCGGCCTGTTCAACACAAAAATCCTAAATTAATTGATTTAATTCTGAACTAATCTAATTTCGATCGATTGGATCAAATTTGAAGCTGAATTAATTACTTGAATTTATGAAACTCACCATCTTCTGGAATTCGATTCGAACTGAATTTCTCTCTGGTTTATATTTTTTTTTTCTGCTGAAAAAAAAAATTACGCAGGAAGAAGAAGAAAGAAGAAATGAGAGAGTTCAAAGAGATGGAGATATTTAAAGTGGGGAAAAAAATCAGATTAAAAAAATAAAAAAGGAAAATGCAAAAAAGGGGAAATAATTTAAATTAAGTAAAAAAAGATCTTTGAAAATATACTACTGAAAAAAGCTGAATCAGAGACATGTTCACAATTTTTTTATTTATATATACATAATATATATACATACACAATTATGGATTTTTGCGGCCTACCATTGGCGGGAAAGTGAGGCAATGGTGGCCGTTGGATTATTCGTGTGGGGCCCACTCAATCAGGACTTTTCTGCATGCCACCGTTGGTCGACCGGGGGTGGCATGCTCGTTCCGCTAATCTCGGCCGTTGCCTACGGCGGCGATGTGGAGGCGCCGCCTGCTCTTTACAGGCTTCTTTATAGTTTATAGTATAGAGATAATTACTACAAAGGAAAGTTTTATTTTTGTTTAAATAAGCTGATCGCATTCATTTATTATAAATTTAAATATTTTCAGTAATGTGGATTTATTATTTCACACAAATCACACCTACTACCATTAACATAATATATCAGCGTAAATATTTAGCTGAAAATTAAACCGCGTTTAAAAAGTTGACTTATGTGGTGTTTGCAAATGCTTTTTGAAAGTGATTATGCAGTTTTTTTTGCTCATAATCTGTTTTTATGTGTTTGCAAAATCAACTTTTGCTTTTGCTTCTCTTAAAATAATCTGCTTTAAGCTATTTTTTTAAAAGCACCCCTAACCCTGCTTTTTCAATTTTAGTTCATTTTCCGAAATATTTGCAAACACCCCCAACTTTTAGAAATAAGCACTTAAAACTAACTTAAATCACAATCACTAACTTATGCTTTTAAATAATCATTTGCAAACACAAGTCTTATTCTTAACCATAAGCATGAGTGAAAACGATCGTAGTACACAAAATAAGGAGACGCATCAATTTAATTTATTCAAATAAAAAATAAAAATAATAATAATTAAAAAAAATTATATTAAGTGATATATATGGTAGGGTTAGTAGAGCAGTTGTGAACAGGCCAAGCAATGATAATATATATAATCCAGCAAATCAAATCTTTCATGGATGAATTTTTCCACAATCAAAGCACAACTACCATGACTACCTTCATTTTCCCTCTTCTTTTTATTTTATCGCTATTTTTTTTCAATATTACATGGGGTATTTATTCGATCGGTAAACATAGCGAATTGTACCGAACCAAAAAGTCAGTTCGACATTCGATACTTTTTTTTAATTCCGGTATTTGGTACGGTTCGGTACGATTTTACCGAATGAACACTCCTATAATATTACGCTAAATTTCATCGAGTTATGTCCTATCGGCTATCACACATATTTATAAATTAATATATATTTTACACGCATCCATATATATATATATATATATATATATATATATATATATATATATAAATGTAAAATCTACCCAAATTATGTATAACCTAAACTATCTCTTACATACAAGTATATACACATAACATAGTAAAACAAACATATTAACACCATACCACAAACATAAAGGTATTAATTATCATGTATATATTAATGACGTCATTAATTACGTACCTATAAACTATATTAATTACCATACATACCATTACCAATTTCTGCCACCATGCTTTCCCTTACACAAAAATGTCCTATTTCTCTCTACACTTCTCCCATTCTTACAAATCCGTGGCAAATCAATAAACTTCAATATCATCCCCTACTTTTCCTCCCTTCATCTTCATACCTAATCACCGTCGAAAAATCGAACCCACGCCCTCTCACCCAAACCTCCGAACCGGGCCCCACAGTACCATACACCACCTTCTCGTCCTCGATTCTCCTCAACCCTCCGATTTGAGTCACCTCAAATTCATCCATCACACAATAGGTATCTCTCAATGCCCACTGTGCCGCCACTCTCAGCTCACCGATCGTAATCCACGGGTCCACCACCACCATCTCACCTGGCGGCAGCCGCCTAGTCAGCTCCGTCTCCATCTCATCGAAGCTCGGCAGAACCTTACACGTTAACTCCATTTTGTTGTTCTTGGTAATCTCCCTCTTGATAGTCCATTCCTTCACAAAGTGATAGTTGTTTGTCAAGAAAAAATGACTCTCGATGTACTCCGATAAAACATTCTCGTACAGAAAACGTATGTCTCGCGACAGGCTCAAGCCCAGCCTCAGCCTTACACTCGTTGCTCCGTTCGAAGCTTCTTGATCTCGAATATTGAACTCGGCCAATTTTGAATAAGGGTTTATAGCACGGCGAATAATTAGATTATCGATTGTGAAACACTTGATCGATTTTAGAACATAGTCGATCAAACCAGTGTCTCCTATAGATTTTCTAGCCCCGTCTCTCAGTTCTTGCCTAGAAATGGCATTTCCACTTTCGCCGTTTTTTGCTCTGTGCTCCTTTAGCAAACCGACAATGACGTAAAGCACATTCTCCAACCTTCTAGAAGGCCACCTGCAATCTTTAGTCATCGAATCAACAAATTTCTCGAATCCCATCGGGCTACTTTCCCCTGTTTCTGATCCGCCATACTTGCACGCATTCGAAACATCCTTTTGAACTCTCGATTCGAAAACTAGCATCAGTCTTAACAAGTCAGTTATAGTGAACAGTGGTTTCCCACTGAATTTTCTGTACACGTCTATCATTTCTTTGATCCTCTTCATGTTTCTGCTCCTGTTTTTCAAATCAGCGACGATGCTATCGAGGTTTAACGAGCCTAGGGATTGGATCGTTTCGCCGTATTTCTGCTCTGTAATTCCGGGGCTTCCGCCACTGAATTTGTAGCCCCATTTTTCGAACCATGATTTTCCATACGCTGCACCGTGGATCAAACTCAGCTCGATTGCTTCCTTTCTTGAAACGTGACGAGCCGAAATATACCTGCAAACGTTCAACGAGGGTTTATCGTAAAATTCCCCATAATTTGAAATTTTTGCATAGAAATTTCTGGAGGAAAATTTGAGAACCTGGATTTGAGAACAGTGCAGAGACGGTCCCAGAACTCCATGGTATCATCTGCAGAGAAGAAATTGGAGTTGTTTTTCAAACCGTTGACGCGGATGAGATGACCGTAGCCATTGCAGTGAATCAAACCGTAGAGATAATGGCAATGCGTTTCGTCAATTTCATCCAATGGCAGATTCCAATTCTCCTTCTCGGGGATTATGAAATGGTACTTTCTCTGACAAACAAAATGGTGACCCCATCCTGTGTAAATCAACCAAAATTCAGCACAACTACAAGTTCAGAAACCAGAAAATAGAAAAATTGGGGAAAAAGCAACCGTAAAAAAATTGCAGAAAACAAAATTTCAAATCCACCGAGAAAATTAGTGAAAAATAATTCCGAAAATTGAAAAGACCTGCTGCTTCGCAGTGATTGCAGAAAGGATCGGGAGAGCTTTCAGCGGTTTCCTCCACAGTGTAGAGTGGGAAAACTCCTTCGTCTTGAGAGAAAAGCAACGTCGACCAAACGGTCATTTCTCCGACGGTGTACTCCTCGATTTCGGCGAAATTCTGGAGGAAAACGCGAACGTTGTCTCTGAACGCTCCGGCGAGAGTTTTCTTCATGGAATTGGGGACTGCGAAATTGTCGAATTCGAACAGTTTCTTCGAATTAACCCTATTTCTGATCTTCCTACTCGTACGATGAAACAAAATCGAAATCCATCGGAGAAAAAATTTGCAACAAAAAAAAACCCTGCGAAATCGCCTTGTGTGTGTGCGTGTGTGTGTGTGTGTGCGTGTGTGTGTGTGTGTGTGTTTTTTTTCTCGGTGCTGTTTGTTTCACAGTTTCAGAGTTTTTGATTTGTGAAGAAGAAAAATGGCAGTGGCGCTTGAAATATTTTGGGTGTTGAATTTACGGATGTGCCCTTGTAAGAGCGGGAAAGATGGTGAAGGTTGTGCTTTTCGTTTGTGGGGCTTTCGGTCAATTTGATTGGAGCGGTAACTAATTGTCGGGGTGTGTGTGATCACGTTGAGTGAACCAACCTAGGTTTCTCTGCAGTTCGTATTGCAACGGATTCCTCCAGTTTGAATACTGGCGAAGATTTAGAGAGAGAGTGAGAGAGAGAGAGAGAGAGAGAGAGAGAGAGAGAGAGAGAGAGCCAGAGAGGAGAGAGAAACTTCACGTTTACAATTTGAAATCAAAATGGGCCCACTTTTTTTTTTTTTTTCTTAACTTTGCTAACCTTGAAGAATTTTTTTATCACCCGTTTAATTTTTATAATTATTTATTTATTTGTATTACATTGCATAAAATAAATTATAATTTATAAACTTTAATTAAAAAAATGTGCATTAAAATTATGAAAGTAGGATGTATGGACTAAATAAAGTATTATATGATGTAAGAAACTGGAATGTGTCTCTATTCATTCGAACCTTGTGAGCGAACTTGGATTGATTCAAACGCATATATCACTGGGTTTCATCACTGTAGATTCAAGCTTTATGCTAGTGGACCTCATTCCTATAGGTTCGCGCTTGACTCGTGTATTTTTCGGACTTCAGGTTTATATCGAGTTTATATCGTACAATTACATATTTTACAATTTTCCAGTCGAACGTGTTGGAAAAAATAAACATTCTCAATCGAATAGGATAATCTAGAATATTCATAGAAAGTCAAATAAGATAAAATCTATAGTCGCATTGTAAAATTAAAACAATAATTTATTCCTAAAAACAAGTGAAATTTAATGTTGCAAATGTTCGATCCTTAAGTAATTAATATGAAGAAAAAAAAAAGCATTAGAATCCAAAATGAAGAAACGTAAAACAAACCAAAGTAATTCTAGATTTACTCAATAAATATATTATTCATTTAATAATTAACTTAATCGATTGGGCTTTATTCAGGTTGAGCCACAACAGCTCAAACTCAACTCATAAATTAATCAAAGTTTAATAAAATGGTTCAAACTCGATTCGGTTCGTAGTTAGTTACGCTCGGTTTAAACAAAATCAAGCCGAACAATCCGGTTTTAGATAAGCCCGGCTCAATTATATGTCCTAACTGTTACCATTATAAGAATTAGTTCGATTTAATAATTAACAATTCAAACAAGTAGTCTCAAACCAAATAAAATAAAATGAAATTGATCCATTTTGGCACTAATTCATGAAACCAGTGGTGGGTGGATCCGACCCGATTGACCAATGCCCGGTATTTCCACGTCAGCAATTCTCTGAGGTGGCGGCAAAGTCAACAATTCACGTCGGGGTTGAGTTGACGTTGACTGATTAATCAACTACTAAAAGGTAATGCAGTTGAATACACATACTATTATTGATTCTGATCATCACGGGGTGAGAGATTCAACCAACAGTATGTATGTAAATGTAAGCATCTATTTTTCAGTGTTGAGTAATTCTGGTTTTTTTTTTTCCTTACTTGCGTTTTTGTTTGGTAAACAAGGGATTTCTGAACTCGCAATTGTGTGACTCAGTGAGTCTGCGCCTGATTTTGTTGGATTTCTGAACTCGCTTACTACAATTGTGTGACTCAGTGAGTAGTCACTGAGTACCGCGCCTGTTGTAGTGTTTTTTTTTGCTTTTCCC